AGCCAGGGAATGCTCATCCTTCTGGATCACGGAGGAGGGGCAGCTTTGGATGGAGGAAAACTCCTTGACAGCAATCTCCTTCGACCAGTGCCGCCTGGGCCAGCTGGTCAAGAAGGCCACTACGCTAGCCACGGATCTCCCAATTCAGGATTGGGATCACATGCGGTGCACGCATCAGTCACATGTGGGCACCAACGAGTCCTCGACTCTTAGCAGATACCCTTGGGATATGATGGCAGGCCTGGCCAAAGCCATCGCTGTGTCACTCGCAGCGCCGGGGCACATCCGGATCCCCTCACAATTCCCGGGAAACCCTAAGGAACCACCTAAGGGGCGGGGGTCGGACCCCCCGGAGGGCCCTTCCCCCCGGGGAAAACGGGGACCCAATCAGGGAGGCGGTCCCTCCTCATCACACCAGGGCCCAAAGCCCGGAGGCAAGAATGCCCCGAAGCCCCGCCAGCACGGGCACATCCACCTTGAGGCAGACACCGTAAGCCCTCGTGGAACAATGAACCCAGACTTCCCATCTCCCATGCCCCCGATGGCCGGAGATGCGGAACAACTGGGGAAGGAAGAACATGGGGACCAGGTCCTGGACCGCCCCGAATGCCTGCCCGCTTTCAGGGTCCCACGCCTCATTGACCGAGTTGCGATTGTCCAATTGGGTTTCCGCTCACGCCCCCTGAGGGATGGGGGGGGGAAACCTTCCCCGGGGAGGCTCAACCCCCCCTTTCGGAGAATTTCCCCTTTGGCTACTTTGGGCGCCCTGATCATGACCCTTACCCGGCCCTGGATTGACAAGGTCCGGATGTCCCTGGCATCAGGTGCCACCACACACCCCTTCCAGGAAGCCGACCTCGATGAGCTGCGGGCTATCCTGGGACCTAGGCACCTCCATGAACGATGCCCAGGTCAACCCTTCCTCCTGGACCTAGTTTCGCACTTGGCATCCCTTTCAGGTGACCCTGATTGGGAGTTCCCCCTGACACTGAAAGAGGGGGTCCCCTTGGGAGTCTCGGACCCTACCTTGACCTCCCCCGGAGTTTGGCCGACTAAGGAGGAGCTTAAGGGAGAAGCCTGGCTGGGGGAAGACCCCCCCCCGCCGGTGGCCCATGATAACTACCCAACGGCTGAACTCTTTGCCAGTGAAATCGAGGCAACCTTTTACGAGGAACGAGCCTTGGACATGGTGGACGGGCCCTTCACTCGGTCGGAGGCGGCAGAGAGGTGCCGCTGCAAACCGGAGGAACTTTGCCCGGGCCCCCTTGCGGGGATTGATGAGTCAGACAAGATCAGGACGATCTACGATGGCTCGAAAGGGGGAGCAAACGCACACATCCAGGCTCATACGGGGGAGAAGACCACTGCACCGATGGTTGGAGACTGCCTCCACGCCATCCACTGGCTCAGGACAGCGACGGACCATCCCCATCTACTTCGAGCCACGCTCTCGAGCACTGAGGAGAGACCTCGGGATGTTCACCAGCCGGTGCAGGGGCAGTCCCCAGGTGCCGAGGGCCCTGAGAGGGACCCCCACAGCACCAGCCTGCCCCCCAGGGCCGAGGGGCCTGATCGGGGCAGGGGGATGATGGATACCTCCGGCGGCCTGGACGTCTCTCTGGGGTCGACACCCTCAGGGAAGGGACCACTCCCAGGTGCCGAGGGCCCTGATAGGAGGGCCCCCTTCCCCCCAACCCCCCGGGCACGGAACGCCCTGGGGGGATCAGGGGGGAACCCCTGATGTGGCAGCCGCCGACACAGGGGGAAACCTTCATCATCCTCAAGGCGGATGTCACCAAGGCCCACAGGCGTATAAAAGTGCTCCCGAAAGACTGGAAATACCAGGTGGCCTGCATCCAAAACCGGTGGTGGGTCAACAGAGTGGGCACGTACGGCATGGCCTCGGCACAACTGTACTGGGGAAGAAAGGCATCCTTGGTGCTCAGACTCTTGTACTACATCTTCCCTCAGGTGGACTGGCACTTAGTCTTTGTGGACGACTACTGCTGGGTCCTCAGATGCAGCCGGGCGGACTGGGACGCCACAGCCATCCTGGCTACACTGCTGGCGCTGGGAGTCCCGCTTTCCTGGAAAAAGACGGCGCTCTCCCCGATCAATACCTGGTTGGGCTTTGTGGTGGACCCAATCACGCCCTGTGTACTGCTGGCTCCAGTCAAACACGTCATAATCCTGGCCACTCTTAAACGGCTGGCCCAGGGGGACATCTTCACCAGCAAGGAGGTGGAACAAGCCCTAGGCCGTATTCAATGGGCTACTTCGGCGTGCCCATTGACGAAACCTTTCCTCCAGCCCTTTTGGAGCTGGAAGAAGGCCTGCACCACTTCGGGCAGGCCACCGAAGCTGGTTCGTGCTCTGGCCATCCTTTTGGGGAGACTCTTCAACCAGAGGTTCCCACTGGCATCTCCGTTTGCTCCCACACTCCCATGGACGGGGGCATCTGATGCGGGAGCTGGCAGACAGGCAGACCATGCATGGGTTGGTGGTTGGTGCTCGGACGTGCCCAACCCCGACAAGTCCCGTGTGAAGTGGTTCCAGCACAGAATCACACCGGAGGGCGAGCCGTGGGCCTTCACTACTGGGGACCCGCAGCGGGCGATAGCGGCCTTGGAGCTCTTCGGCCTCCTCCTTTTGGTGAGGGCCGTTCTGCTTTGTGCAGCCGGCTCGGCTTCTCACACTAGGATCCTGGTTGCTAGTGATAACCAGGGAAATGTTTTCTCCCTTCTTAACGATTCCACTCGCAGGATGCCCAATGCGGCCATCCTCATGGAAATTGTGTTAACACTGCATGACCACCAGGTCATGTTAGGACCGTCGCATGTGAAGCGCGACTTTAACACATGGGCGGATGAACTTACTCATCCGGACCCGCAATTTCCGACTGAGAACCGGGTCTTCCCCTCAGTCGAAAGCGAATTGATCACACTGATCTTCGCTACTTTCCTTCCTCACCCATGATGCCGGGAGGGCATCCGGTGAGGTGGGAGGATTCCTCCCTCGCTGTGGGAGTGGCATCAATCCTACTCCCATCAGCTGCTGAGGGGAGCTGCCCAGTGGAGCTGGGCAATCCTCCCATTTTGGCACTAACCCTTATGCGGCAAAAAAGGAGGCACCGTTTTGCGAATAAGGCCTCAGTAGCACCAGAGTGGTGCTTTGAAGAGTCTGGCTCGTCTTCTTTTCAGGGCTTGGAACCCCTTTTTTGGTGGAACCAAAGAAAACACCAGACGGAAAGCCAGAATTTTTGGGGTCGCCTGAAGAGACACACCCCAGTTAGTTGGATCTTTAGACTGTTGCTTTCGGTGACAGACATAATTATAGTCCAAGGATGGCCGAATATGGGAAGGCCGCACGCGACCACAAAGCCATGGAACATTGGGTAAATTCGGTTGCATGAGGTTGCTTTTTCTCCAATACTTGCAAGATTCCCGGGGCATCCAGTTGCTCCGTGGCACACTTGTTCCTTTTTGTTTGGTGACTTCCCCACTAAACACAGCCTTCTCAACGGCGAATTGTTCGCTGACAGTTGCTCCTTGGTATTGCAGAAGCGGGAGCCGCCGCTCACATTGGAATGTCTTGAGAATTGAAGCATGCCCCCCAGAGCATGTCCGTCTCATGTGCCCTTCCTTTGGAGTGCTGAAAAGAGTTACGATTGACGCTGTGACCGCTGCCAAGCAACGACGCTGTGACCGCAAAGGCCCAGCGGAAGCCAAGGCATACTTTCCCAAGAACAAGTCTACCTGGACCCTCAAAATAGTTTTAAAAATAATGAGTTATTGCCCCCCAAAAGGTGGTGGGTGAAATCCCTTTGTAAGTGAAGCTTGAGGGTCCAGGTAGATTTCATTCATTAGAGCTGTTTGCCGCACATTGCATCGCGATCACGGACAAGTTCTTCATCTTGAGCCAACTAGGGGCCTCCGAACAATGTTTTGTGCCCCCCCCCAATTTGTTGATTGCTCACTAGAATCGATGATTCTATTAGAGGCACGGGGTAGAAGTTTGGAACAACCCAGGCTCCGCTTTCTGCAGAGCAGCTGTGCCACAAAACATGTCTGTCGCCCGGTTGACAGCACTGTGGTTTGCCCTGAAGAATGGCGGTGTAGGGGTCAAGTGCCTGGTTACCTAGCACTGCGGGCTCCTGGGAAACACCGGAGTTCTCAAAAGACAAACTGGTGCGGGGTGGGGGGTGATTCAGATGTCCGCCGAGTTTGGAGGGGGAAAAATCATTCGAGCCACAATCAAAACCCCGATAGATGAAGGTCCGGAAGTGATAGTCCCAGCCAAAAATGTTTGCCGCCGAGTCTTTACTTCTTTATATGGTGCAAGGTAGACCATTCTAATACCGATCGGCTTTGATTGCGACTCATGTGGGCGGTTTGGCGAAACGTTTACCTTCAATCTCAAACAGGGGTTCCTTATGCTCGGATTTGATCCAACATCTTTCGTTTGAGATTGTTAGTCTTTCGAAGGAGTTTTGGCATAATATCTCACCAAGGAGTTTTGTTAGTCTTGGAACTCGCAGGGTACCAAGGGACTTCCCCTTGACCATCCGTCCTTCATATAGTATGCTAGGCGCCCTTTTTCTGGTGTCTCCTCCATTAAGAAAAGAACAAGAACAGATTTCACTGTCGATTTTCTCAATCTGAACGTGTTAGTTTTGGAGTATACTCGCAAGAATACACTGAGAAGCATTGTCAGTAACACCACAATTCATGAGAGTAACACCGCCGAAGTCCGGATCCAGTTGTCCACCGCAAATGTTTTCTGGGGCACTTGAGACACATGGGCTTGTCCTTTTGTTAGGGGGCCCTCCAATAACTTGGGTTTCCTTTTGGTTTCCCTTTTGGTTTCCCTTAAAAAAACCCGCAAAACCTAGGGGGTACCAACTCAAAAAAAGACGTGCCACTCACCATGTCGTTTTTCTTTGCCATTCCAAAGGGGGCTGAGTCACTCGCTCACTCGCGGTATTTCGTAAGCGCAATGAGGCCAGAATGAAGTGCCAGGTGATCCTGGCGTTGCTGCGCCTTGGTAGAACGGGGGTGGGGGGTGCTGCATATCCATTACTTGGTTCCCAGCCATCCGGTTCCTTAGCTCCTTGGCTTTGTAGGATTTGGTGGTAGATTCCATTCAACTCATTGAAAGTCAAGCTTTTAGTGCAGGGGATCCGATGGCAGCCCAGATTGTGACCGTAGGCCAAAGAAACGGAATGTTGAACATGGCGCATCTCAGACCCCGGATGCCTGAAGCTTTCCTGGTGTGTGGAAAGAGTTTTGAGGTTTGACCCCCCTCTCAAATGAATTGTGGACATAAATCCGACCTAAAGTTCACAAATAGGTTGTCGAACCCCCCACAATCTAAGTGGTTTCCCCTTGGTAATTTGCCTCAAACAAGTTCTCCAGTTTAGACCAGTTTGGTAAGGCACTGGTTTCAGTTTGGTTCTCATCATTTTCCAGAGCTATCTTTTTTCCAGAAGGACACCTACCTTAAAGCAACCCAACAACTCAGCTGCCCAAAGTGATTCAACCTTTTGACCTGCTGGTTTCCCTTGGTCCATGTTTTGTCATTTGTATGTTTTGGTTTGCCCTGATTTGGCCCAATTGTTTTCCTGATGTGGTTTGCCTGATTTAATTTCCCTGACTTGGTCCATGTTTGTAGCTCTGATATGATTTCCCTGATTCGGTGTGGTTTGTTCCAAATGGTTGCCTTTGTATTTCCATTCCCCAACTGGGCCGCTGTTAATGTTGCCAATAAATATATTATTGTAACATTATGTTTAATCCATTGTGGTACAGCAGTATCTTGTAATATTGCATTTTTTGTCATTGAGACATTTCATAATGCAACGGGACAATACTACCAATGACACAAAAGGCCTGGGATTGCTTTGGTTAGGCCAGTGCTGGTGCTGGCAGCGCTGGAGTCGCCGGCCAAGAAGGCGTCTTGAAGTGCAGCGTGAAACGGGTCGCAGCTTCGAGAGGTGCGTTTTGGCTTTTCGTTCTCATCCTCTTCCTTTTTTGCAGGGGGGGGGGGTAGAAAACCATACCATTTTGCTTGAGTGTTTTTGTTTGTTAGTTGGGCGGGAATAGAATACTATTCTTTTTTTTTTTGGTTCTTTTTTGGGGGGGGAGGGCGGACCTAGACTACCATGTTGTTCTGTTTGAGTGCTTTTTGTTGGCATGAACTACCAACCAAAAGAGTGCCGAATATGTCTATCCCTTGGCACCAGTTGGGGCCTGGGGGGTTGATGCAGGGTAGTTGCTTGGTGCCCGCAGTCGAGCATGGCACCCGAGACCCGCCTGAGTTTATGTGCCTATGCATCCTTTCAGGAAATGAGGCACAATCAAAACCCGGGTAGATGAAGGTTAGTAAGGGACGATCCCAACCATAAGTAGCTGCGGATGTCCGCCTTCTTAATCCTGTACATGGTTCTGGGTAGACCATTTTAGTACCGATCGGGTTTGATTATGACTCAAATGGCGACTCTTGTTGGTTGGAAATGCAAAGTTCCCCGAAGAACTCTCCAAGATTCCCATGGCTACCGCTCCTCCTTGACCCATGCCGCTGGGATCAACCCGCCTTTCAACGGTTCAATCTGCCTTAGCAGCTTGAACTCCTGGATCCATTTGGGTGTGTGCTTCGCGGGACTCCCATTTGGTTTTATCTCAAGGGAGCCAAAAGGGAGGTGATTTGAATTGGTGCAGCCGAAACAACCAGGACATCAAGCAATTGGTTGTTGGTTGGGGGCAAAAGCTGAGGTAAGTGGCTCAGGTCATGGGCAAAGAACTCAAAGGAGACTTGCAACCATAGCTTTGGGGGGTTAGAGCCACCCACTAGGCACCCTTTGGGTACGGGTTGCGTTCCATAGTAAGGCTTACTAATCCCAGCGGCAAGCGGCAAGGGGTCTTTCGGGGGGTAGGGCCCTTAGTCTTTGTGGCTCAGCGGTTCGGCTTGACTCCACATTCTCCGGGTGTCAACGGGGGTATCCCAGAGGTTCCACGTGTAGCGTTTCTTCGGGCCGCTGGCTTCGTTTGGGTCTGCAACCTGGACCAGAGAACGACCCCCTGCGTTTGCCAGAGCTCCGGTCGTTCGGGTATCCGCTCCGCGGACCGATGGGGTTCCGCGGTTTCGGAAGATTGGCAGGTGGGCGTGGCTGGAAAAAAAGGAGTCAGGGTTACGCAGGTTTTTGTCTTTTTTTCCATTTACCAAGGGGCCATTTTTGGGGATTCCTTTTTTCGAGCCACAGCCAGGTGGTGCTCTTCATCCAGGAGCTTCAAGAAGAGATCAAGGCCGACATGGCGAAGGCTCGCCGCGCGATGTCGCCGGGTGCCGTGGCGATGTCGTGTTGCGCAAATTGCAAATGAAGGCGGATGCTCTTTCTGAATATGTTGTGTGTTTCCCCCCGGTTGAAGGGAATCTATCACTGGAGAATGTGTGAGGCGAGTGGTTGGAAATCATTGGTATATCTGAAGCTATGGCAGCGAGCCTTTGTGGGTGATGGTGCTACCCCTTACCTTCTGGCAGCCAGGTTCCTCCAAAACAAACCCTGTGGGTTCCATGGTGGGGGTAGACCATTTACCGCGGACCTTCAGTGGGATAAAATAGGGCGCCCTTGCGTGGCACGTTTTGTTCTTCTTCTTTTATTTTCTTATGGAAGCCCCGTCCAAAAAAACAAAGAAACAAACAGGGGCACCACTTGAGCCCGGAATCAAAACCCGGGCATAGCAATATCTGAAGCAGAATGAGGTGCGGCGAAACACCCTTTCACATGGGCTTGGGTAGACCATGTTAATACCTGGTGATGGCTCACTTGATTTCTGGGACCGGCTCATGGTCCCAAGTCGATTCCGCAACTTTTTTCTCAGGACCTTGGGCCAGCTCGACTCTTTTGGTTGCCACCCCCCCCCACCCAATGGCTGCTTGGCGGACAGCGCTTGGGGGGGCTGGACGGCGGACCAGAGTCGTTTGTGGGGTGCTTCCAGTTACCACTATAGGTAACCCTTCCGCATTTTCTACCAGTTTTTACATGGTTTTGGTTGCCGCCTCTGCGGATCTGCCTTTTTTGTGGGTACCCCTTTCGGGGTTGTTGTTGTTGTTTGGGATAAAGGAAAACCGTTGCGCCGTTTTGGTTGTTGGAGCCGGTCCGAGTCCTATCTTGGCACACACCTATGGTGACTGCAAAAACACTCTCTCCATGACGGTTTCCACCCCCAAACCGAAGCTACCCCCATGGGTAAACTGGAGAATATGGAGCATCTACCCTTTACATACTGTGGATGGACGAAATCCTGCACCACTTTGAAGCCATGGGAAACCATTTGTTTGTTGGTATTGACAGGGGAATCATCATTCTCGGACTTCCTAGGTGGTGCAGGAGTTCGTCCATCCACAGTAGCTTCTTTTTTTCCTTATTTTTTTTGGCGTGGCTCTCCCATTCAGCCAGCTTCGGTCCGGGTGAAAAGCTAAGCTTTGTCCAGGAGAAGGCCTCTTTCGAGACCTTTGCCGCCTGGTGCGATGAGAGCCTCGGTGAGCCAGCCTGATTTCGGGAGACAGGTCCCGTTCCGCCGAAGAACAAAAAAAAGCAGAGGTTGTGGTAGAAGGATACGCCCCAAAACCGCATGGTTCTGAAAATGGTGCCTAGAATGGTTGGTATCCTGAAAGTACCCTTCAAGGATGATTGTCTTGTTTTTTGTTTCCTTTGGGGGGGGATGACAGTGAACATACCTTCGCGGGGTTTATGAATCCACACTGATCTCCCATGATTCTCCAATTTTCCGAATTCTAAACATAACCTTTCGGCTTGCCTCAATCTCCTTTTGCATGGTGGTCTGTTTTTCGCTTGAAATCTTGGGAGCCCTGTCCCACCCATAAGCTCCTGGACTTAAACTTTCTGGGTTTGGACTGGAGCATTTCGGTGGTAACCAACAAGTGTGTTCGCTTTTTTGGGATCTGCTCAATCGGAAGTGAGCTGTTCCCCCCTCCCCCCCCAAACCCTAAACCGTAAGCCCTAAACCCTAAACCCTAAACCCTAAACCCTACCCCCCCCCCCAAAAGAAGGACTAACGCTTCCGCTCGGAAAAACGAGACGAGTCTCTCGCCTCGTGCGTCAAGCCGTGCGCCTCCGTGCGACTCGTTGGCTCGAGGACCACAAAGGCGGCGAAAGAGAACATCAAGACAGCGGAGGAGACGATCGAGAGCTGCAGCCGCAGGAGACGTTGTGAAAGCTACGAGTTGGGTGAGGTGAGCCACTTGCTCAAAACCCGGGGATTGATGAAGGTTAGTAAGGGACAATCCCAGCCATAAATAGTTGCGGATATCCGCCTTCGTATTTCCTTACATGGTTCTGGGTCAATCATTTTAATACCGGGTTTTGATTGTGACTCAGGTGTCCTTGTGTAGGTCAGTTTGGATAGAAATAGATGGGTTCCACGTGAGTTAGATTGGTTTCAAATAATTTGCCAGGGCCATCAGTATTTCCACAAGGTCATTTAGTGGTTGGGGGTGGTTTCTGTTTCTGGGTTGGTACCCCCTGTTTGGCGGTTTTAAAGGGAAACTTCAAGAGGACAACCGCAGCCACAGGGGGGGGGGTTCAAATCAACCTTTGATCACCTTCTGGTTCTCCTTTTTTTGGCAACACCTTAGTCCAGGGATTTTCTCGGGTCATTCCGAATTCCTCTTTCCCTGCATCTCCTGAAGCAGCAAACGCGTTTGGTGGCCGGGGCGAATTCGGCTCCCAAACCCCTGGCTCCCAGCCATCCCCTTAGCCTAGTGTTTCGTGGTAGTTTCCGTATTTGAACCACTCAAAGTCTTTGTCAAAGTCCGCCACTTTTCGTGGATCAGACGACGGGCAGCCCAGCTCCGCGCGCGCGCGCGCGCAGGATCGAGGCGCTCTCGGGCTTCGAGGCCGCCGGCGGGGCGGAGATCGCCAACGCCGCGCCTCGGCGAGCGGCCAAGCGAAGTGAAGGCCACGCGGGCTAGGGGTTGAGTCCTTGTCCATTCTTTTCAGCCATCCTTCTTTTCAACAGCCAGCCACTTTTTTTCAGGGTTTTCTAGAAAATCCATGGAAAGAATGGGGAAGCTACTTTTAGAGGGGGCTTTTGCGTTGGCCCAAAACTTGTGTTAGGCACTAAGCATGGAACATGATGTGAACTTGTTCTGTGTTCGTCTGTGCTGCTCAGATGTCCAAGTAATCAATTCCAATGGCCTACACCAAAGGATCACGGAACTGATTGAGGTCTGACTCAACCCACATATACGGGGGGTCCTTTAGTGCCAGAACGTCAGTATTATGTGTTCCTTGGGTTTTCTGAGAACCCAACTGATTAGTTTTGATTAGGGGCGTTCCACTTTAGAGCGGATCCTCCTTAACACCTACCGTCATGGTCCAAATGTTACCTTCCACGTAGGCACTTCAACCGCTGAGCCAATGAGGGTTATTTGGAGTTCACCTTTTCCCACCCTGAAATCATTGGTGGGCACTGGGGGTTCGCAAGTATTGGGGGCCACCATTATTGACCGTTGAAAAGAGGCCAGCATTCTGGGGCTCAGGAAAAGAACGTGGTCGAGACCGGCAAGCGCTTGGAGGAGGCCGCTCTGGAGAGCGGAGCGAGCCCTGCTTTTGGAGGGGTCACTTTTCTGGTGGCTCCCAGCCATCCCCTTAGCCTTTTAGCTTTTTAGCGTTTAGTGGTAGTTTCCATTTAACCCACCAAAAGTTAAACTTTTAGCGGGGGATCGGAGGGCAGCCCAGCTCTGATTTGAAAGGGATGACAGGAAGTGCAACTTCTAGGTCCCCCAGCTAGGTGCCCTTTGTAACGCCTTTTTTTGGGAGGGTTCCCGTACTGAAATAGACTACAGAAAAAAGGGTACCCTTATTCTAACCTCTCTACTGGAGGACCTAGACTTGGTGCGGCCTCTGGTCCAATTGGCAACGATAGAAAAGAAAAAGCTCAGGGGAACCCGGGGGCCTTCCCGTTTGCCGGTTGATTTTCAGGATCTGTGAGTCGAGCGATGTTGAACGCCCCGCACCCTGTATTTTGCGGCGTGGCTCTCTGCTGCTTCCCATTGTCAGGCTCCATCCTTTAGGGGTATACGCCCACACATGGCAATGGTTTGGTGTTGGGTTCCCTTCCAAGAAGGGTACCCTCGAAAAAGACACCATATCCAACTTGATCTAGCCTTCCTGCTCGTGCCCCCCAGATGGGATCCGGAGCACGTATACTGCTGCATGTTGTTTTGGCCTTCTCAGACCTGACGGCCAGCCAAATCGCAACCTTGGCCTTCAGCCTTACCCAGTGCTTCCCAGGGTTGTGGGATCAAGGGGTTTATCCCCACTTCTGTGATACAAGGGAATCCCCTCTTTATATGGGGGGTTGGTCTATCACAGATTCGTGGATTCCATTTCAACCACAGCCCTGGTGCTTCCAGTTGTGACCAAGGACCATGTGAAATCTCCGGTGCGCTTCAAAGTTGGGGTCCTGATTCAGGTCCACTGAGCGAGGTGGCTCCAACTGAAAGAATTCATAGCCTGGTCACCCCGAATTTGGCGCTTCGCCCCTAGAGTTGGAAAATTTACTTTTGGTGTTCGAAGTGTGGGACACCCCTTGTTTACCTTTACAACCAAGTAAAGGGAACCGGTTGCCGCAAGCACTGGGAAGTTGAGAGGTCAACATCCGCTGTTTAATCACCTCTGATAGCGCTTGCCACCGGGAGGCACAAAAAAACGTAGGGGTCAGCGCTGAGCAATTGGAAGCGCTGAAGGCGGCGGCCATGCGGGCGAAGGAGAAGAAGGCCTTTGAGGCTTCCAAGGAGGAGCTGGAGGCGTCTCTCCAGGTGGGGGGTGGGGGGTGGGGGGCGGAGGGTTTGGGGGGTGGGGGGGGAAGGGGGGGTTGGGGGTTGGGGTGTCCCAACATGGGGTGGGTTCCAAAACTCCGCTTGCTGAAATGCATATGATTGATTTTCCACTGGTTTTAGAGGGAATCGGACTCACTGCTGGATGTTTTGTTTATGTTTGCCAGGTTACTGAAACAATTGGTCGTGACCTGCTTTTGCCTGCTGGAATTCAGTGGGTTTACCCCGAGGGTGCTAAATAGCAACGTAACATAACTTCAAAAAAGGCGATGGGCCATTTTCTAGCTTTAGTGCCCCGGCTCAGGCCGCCGACATTGCTAACGTGGCCCACTTGTACATGTTTTTCACGCTTTGTTTTCTTGGTTTTCGGGCACAGAGTTTTGCTGGGACGCCCCAAAATTGCTGTGGCAACACCCTGGCCGCGCACCGGGGATCACAAGAACGTCGCGACTTTGCCACGGGGCACTTCGCCAACCAAACCCCCTCTGTATCATTGGTCTTCCAAGGACCCTGACAAACCAGGTCCTTTTTGGTGCTCCTCTTGGGTTCAAATGGAAACATGAGCCAAAGCCAAATGTTTTTCAGGGCCTTGGAAGATCAAGGCATTTCTCCTATGACAATATGTCATGTCTTCGACGAGCGGAATGTCGGCGGATTTTTAGCCAGATTTCCACAGAAGGAGCCCGAAACGGGGGGCCCAGGCTGCCAGGTCCCCAAGAGGAGATTCGAATCCTTTGGTGGTTTTCAGGGTTCAACGTTCACTATGGGGGATTGTTGTTCCTGGAGTCTCCACGACCCTTGCAAAACCCATTCTTTTAGGTAAGGATCCATAATTTGTTTGAAGGGGCATGGAATCTTCACGGTTGTTGGCATGTTTTTAGGTTTCTAGGTTTTCGTTTTTGTTGGTTCTGTCCATGTTTAGTGTGGGGCTGCAAGAAACAGTCGCTTTGTTGCCCAGACCAAGGGTTGCAAAGGACTCCAGGTATTTTTTTTTGTCAGGCGCCCCCTTGCGTCTCAGGCCATGACAGAGGCGCTCAAAGAGTTCAGCGAGGTGAGGGCGGGTTCGATCGGTTTTCGTTCGGTTGACACGCAAACACCCCGGTTGAGCAGCCGGAAACCACCCAGTTGGGTGTGGCTCGAAATTGAAGAGGTGGGGTTACGCAGGTTTTAGTCTTTGCTCTTTGTTTGCGTGCCGTGTTGGTACATGTTTTTAATCCACAGCCAGTTGAGCCTGTTAGAACTCTTGTTGGTTATTATAGTCGAACAAAAAGCCAAGCCACCCAATGGAATCGGCCCTTCCTCGGCTCCTGGCAGTCTCTTCCTCGAATATCTCGAGCACGCTCCCCCCCCCAAAAAAAAATAATAATCAAAAAACAAAAAACAATCGTGGAACCACTAAGCAAACCAACACAAATGGAACGCCACCATTTTCTTGGGGAGAAGAGCCACCAAACCAAACTAAAAGAACATCGAACCACTCAACCAACAAAAACATGGAACGCCATATTTACTTAATATATATATATATAGAAGTATGTTGTTTTTGTTTGAAAGGGGGATTTCTAAAAAGAAGACCCATATTTTGTTTCGGCGGGGTCCAAGTCCCTGAAACAAGACGAGCCACCCATTTCCGATTCCGGGGATTTCTAAAAAAAACACACACAAAACACATATTTCTGGGGAGGGGGTCCCAATTTTAATGAACAACAGGCGAGCCGCCCATGTCCTTGCGAGGATGGCAGCGCCTTCCTGCAGCGGCGAAGCCAGGGACTCGGCCTCGGTCCGTTTCAACCAAAAGGCGGCCATGGCCTCTGCGGGTCGTCGGGAAGACGCTGAGCCCTGGGAACCTACCCTTTTTCACAAAAAAAAGATAACACCCCAGAATGTTGGGTTGCACGAAGCCGGTTTTTTGAGGGTGTTGGACATAATAATAATAATAATAATAATAATAATAATAATAATAAGAATAAGAATAATAATAATAGTAATAATAATAATAATAATAGTAATAATAATAAAAATAATAATAATAATAATAATAATAATAATAATAATAATAATAATAATAATAATAATAATAATAATACTTATTTTTATTATTATTACTATTATTATTATCATTATTATTATTATATATAATGTACGTGTGTGTGTGTGTGTGTGTGTGTGTGTGTACGTGTACGTGTGTTTTTCTCATGTTCTCCACGCTGAAACCCTTGGGCCGATAGGCCCAGAACTCGGCGCGCTCCGTGATGTTTTGGAACCTCCAAAAGTTGCAGCTTTAATGGACACTGTCAGTAAACTGCCAACGGTTGAAGTAGAAATCCCCCAAAGTTTAAGAGACAAAGCCATATATTTCTCCTTGAGTCACCTCATCAAAGGCAAACGCAACATTTAAATTGCCCACAAGGGTGACGCTCAAAGAAATCAACAGGGGACATTTAGGGATTTTCTGTGCCCAGCCGCTCGGATGCAGCCTTCTCAATCCGGTCCTGGCCCCAAAGAGGTGTTTTTCCCCTGAGAGGGGCCCGGGCTCAGGCACCGGTGCTCTTCGTCGGATGCTGCAGCTGAACATTGTCAGCAGCAAGGTGCCAATCCAGGACAGACAAGTTGTTTTTGGCCGCGGGGCTTGGGGACAAACGGGTCCAACTGGGCTCTACGGATCCTAAGGATCCAGATGGGCACAACTTATGGGTTACGCAAGGGTGCCCCTGTGTAGACTTTGTTTTCCAATAGGGGCAAGGGACATGGGATTGGCCAATCCAGTTACAGCTCAGTTAAACCGGATCCGATCACTTCTCTTAGGGAAGCCAAACAATTTAAATGGCTCAACCCTGGAGACTGGACCGTGGATTTCGATGCAACGATTCCCTTCAGTGGAGTTGCAACATGGACTAAATGTCCACATGAGTTTGGGGGACTGCCCGGTCGCCCGTGTAGCTCTGGCTCCTCAGTTGCGGATGTCAGCAGTCTTTTTCTTGAAATTGTGTGTCAGGTTTGCGCCACGATTTGGGTGTGTTTTGTTGCTAGGTCCCCCAGTAGTGCCCTTTACCTTTTCTTTTTTGTTTTGGGGGGGGGTTCCCCTACTAAAATAGACTACAGAAAAAAGGGTACCCTTATTCTAACCTCTCTACTAGAGGACCTAGGTTGTGAGGGTATTGCTTGTTTTACGGTTGTACAAAGGAAACCACCCCGTTAAGGGTCCCCTAAAAAAATGAGAGACACACAAGGCACGTTCGAGTGAGGTACTAAAAAGGCACCAAACGGCTCCAAGGGAGCCTGCACTTTCATGGACGCACTTTGCTACTTTCGGAGGGGAGGGACAGTCTGTGAATCTACTTCCTGGTCAACCTTGCGTTGAAGTGCACTTGCGAACTGGCCGCTTGAAAGCATCGCTCAATGGTGAAAATTCCCAAAAATGAGCGACACAATGATTGGGAGGTGACTTGAGCGGTTCCAGGATGGTTTATTGGGTTCCTTGTGTCCCTTTCGCAGTGTACCCTTCTCGATTGCTTTAATCTGAAGCCAACCATTTTGGTGGGCCGCCATTTTGAGACTTCTTGCCATGTTTGGCTGTGTTCTGAGATTTGATGATTTGACAGGGCTTTGGGAGGCTCTTGCAGATCCCACTTGTGCTTATCAGAATAACAGACGATGACCATCAGAAGGCTCAACCAAGCCAAAGAGTAAGACAAACCCGTGTTCGTACAAAGCCCGGACTCGTTGGCTAGAGGGAACCCGGAGTTGTGTGCTTTTCCTTTCGGGCTCCCTTCAATCTGGCCCCAAGAATTGTCCCCAAAAATCGGGCACCCTCGAAAATGATGGATCTCCCCATTATTTGGGTGTGTCGATGTTTTTTTTTGGGAACCTCTTTTTGGCTTTAAAAGGGAAGTTAAGAAGAAACTACCTGTTTGGAGGGTGCCCTTTGAGAAAAACCGGGATGTCAGGACCTCCAGCTGCTCAGCGCCTTTGCCCAGAGCGGCGATCTTTCGCTGCTTCAGGGCGAAACTCGGCAAAGACAGATCCCAAGTCGCTAGCGGTGTGTGTGGCTTCCTCTCCTTTTTTGTTTCTTCTTTTTTTTTTGGGGGGGGGGGAGGAAAAGCCCGCTTTTTGGCGGGGTTTAAAGAAAAGCCAAGAGGAGAAGCGTTAAGCCAGCTTGGGGGATCCTATACGGCTCTTTTTGTTTTTTGGCTGGGGGACTCACTTTTTGGCTGGGTTTGAAGGCAAACCTAAAAGGAGTTCCCGGATTTTTTGGGACCCTGGGGCCAGATTGAAGGGAAGCCCGGATTGAAGGGATACTCACATTGGCCCCCATTTACCGCTTGTTGGACAGTACTTGTGATTTTGGACATGGGTGTGTGTGTGTGTCTCCTGAGGACTCTTTTTGTGGGTCTTAAAAAGAGACCAAAAGGAAACCCCACTTTTCTTGGCGGGCCCTGCCCGAAAAAGACACCCGCATGGGTAATTAAAAGCAGTTGTGGGCGGCTGGTTTTTCGTGCCCGTTCGTTGCTTTTTCGGCTGTAAGCCCGGCGTGTACGCCGAGGCGGGTGTCGGCGGCGGCATGGGGTGTGAAGCCCAGCTTGCGACATGTGAACTGCGAGCGGGGGGTTCTGAAGAGGAAATAGCAATCGGGGGGTTGATCAAAAGGTCCTTTGCATGGGGTGACCATTAGGACAACCACCAACAGATGACTTTCACCACATGGGGCAAGTTACACGGAAGCTGATAGTAGCTAGCTCTTGCTCACTTGCAAGTGTGGGGTAGAACCAGGAGGCAACGGTAACTGCCAGACCCTGGCCCCCTTTGAAGGGGATTCAACTGTCTTATCTGGACGGACGAAATGCATTTCGCGGTGAAACCATGGGTGAAACCATTGTTTGTTGGTATTTACAGGGGAATCATCGAAGCCCGGGTTTCTGAACGGTGGTGCGAATGGAGTTCGTCCATCCACAGTGCCACAGACCTCCATGACGAATTCACCCCATTTACTCTGCTCCAAACCAAGAGTATACTGAAAACCCGCATTAATAACCCCCTGGTTGATTTGTAGTGTGGTGTCCCACAAGGTGGGGATTCAACCCACGACAAAAAAGGCATCCCCCTACGGGCATATAAATTCAGACACTGCTCACTCCCTGAGTTCCCTCAGCCCAAAGCGGACCAGGATCTGACCAGACTGGGTCTTCCTTTGGGTCCATGGTCAAGGATCCAAAACTTTGGTGCATTTTGCTTGCAGGTTAGGACTTTGACTAATGGGTTTTCCTTATTAAACTAAAGGTTAAACTTCTTCTGCAGGGGAGCAGAAAGCCACCAAGAAAAGGTGAACCTGTTGTTTTCCAGGTTTCGTGGGCAAGTGAGTTCCTGGACGTGAAACTGTTGGGAAGACCATTTTAGTTCAAAAGGTGAAGGCGGTGCACTCACTGCCTGAGCGAGATACCCTTGTTCCAACAATGGAAACAGGATGGATTGAAGACCACCCTCTTAAAATGGCCCCTTCAGTTCCATGACTGTTGGACAACGGGTATGTCATTATGTTTGTTGTTGGGTGGAGTAAGCATCACCTGTTGGTCCTCTTTCTGTTTGTTTATTGGGTTTGTTGATGTTGTTTGCCCCTTGCAGGCTTGGCGTTCAGGTTGTTATGCTCTTCCCTCCAAAAGCACTGCAAACAGGGCACCTCCGGTGGAAAATCAGGGGCCTCAAGCAAGTGTTCAGCGTTGGTGTAACTTTGTTTCGGGGCACAACGCTAAAATTTGGGCAACCCCTGGCGGGCAAGACATGGTTTCCGTGCTGTGGACTGTTTGTTTGTTTTTTAGCGGGACCCCCAAATGAAGCTTTGCTCTTGGTGTCCACTTGAAGCAACCAAAAGAAAGGGTACCCTCTGAAATTGGTTTGCCTTCCTTTGGTTTCGATTAAGATTCGCGAGGTAAAAGGCATCTTCTTGCCCTCGAAGCCTCTCCGCTTGTGTCTAGGCAGGTGATTGGCGTCCTCAAGACCACCAAGACCGATTTCGAGGAGGACGCGTTCATTCAGTTTGATACATATGATCCCTTCTCGTGTCGTTGATTTCCACTTCGGATTTTTGCATAGAGCCCTCTCCACAAAAGATCTGCGTTGGTTCTCCTGTTTCTGCGGGCAGTCATCCAGATATGATCAATATACCCTCCCACAAGCTGCATAGACCCCTGATAGACCCCCAATAAATTTCAATGCGGAACCACCAGATTTACGTGCTTGGACATGAATCGTAAGCAAATGTTGATGTCCACCAAAGGGTCCTTTTGGACACATGACAGTTTTCACAGCGACATGCAAGTGACAGGTCCTTTTGACAGGAATCTCTTCTTCCAGTGCTTCTGACTCAGGTGCCACAGAGCGGGTACTCTCCTTTAAGGGAGCAACTGTGCGCTACAGGACGTTTTTCTTGGAGCTCATAGCCTGAACCGAAGAGGGACTACTTTCCCAAGAGCGGACATGTCATGAGTCAATGCTTGTAGGAGCCTTTGGAGAATAGCCCTTTTCAGTTTGGGAAGCTAAAAGGCAACCACATCCAGTCATTTTGGGGCAATATTTTGGACCCCCCCCCCTTAAGAGCCCATTGCTTTCGGTTTTTTTCGGCAACCGTGGCGCAGGAGTTGAAGGAGCTCCTTGCAGAGGAGGAGGAGAAGAGCAAAGTGCACGGCCAGATTGCCCAGAGAGATCGGGAGCTTCCTTGATCCGGTTGCTGGAAAAGAAAATTGGATTCAAATGGCCATGGTTCAACACCAATGGTACTATTTTGGGATAGGTGCACCACTCATTTTAGTCTATTTTAGTGGGGATTGGGATGTTCACGGGGTTTTGACCCATGGCCAAATGAACATACGATACGTACAAGACCGTTGGTTGAAGAAGGGAATCTATCACTGAACATATATTTAGTTTCCAGGGGAGGCTTTGGCAAATGGGAGGTTATTCGGGTGGGGCTTGCCATAAGATCCATGGTACAACAGTTGGAATGTGTTTTCAGTTCTGAAGGGCTTCCTTTATGGTGATGCTCAGGGTGGAAATGCGTGTCTTGTGTGTGTGTGTGTCTTTTTTGATGGTACCCCCTTTTGTAGTTTTCAAGGAACACGAAATGGAAAACCACCATTTTGAGGAATCCTTAAAAACTGACACGCCCAAATATAGGTAGGCGTCACCCTCACGTAAAGTGTTCAGGTGGTAAAGCCTATTGAACATACTCGGTGTCTTACCAGTCACTGGTAGCTGGAAGCACTTGAGCCACAATCAAAACCCGGGTAGATGAAGGTTAGTAAGGGGCAGTCCCAGCCAGAAATAGTTGCGGATATCTGCCTTCTTAATTCTTGAAGCATGGCTCTGGGATTTCGACCATTTTAATACCGATCGGTGTTGATTGTGAATCAGGTGTCCTTAGGTCAGTTTGGATAGAAATAGATGGGTTCCACTCACTGCTGACGATGTGTCCGGGAGCCGCTGCCAGAGGGTGTCACCGGACTGCAACACACCCCATATCGCTAAGCCAAGAGCTGAGGGAACATAAGCCGCAGATAAACGTTTCAGCGTCAGATTTCTTTCCTTTGGTCAGGTCAGAAGTCTTTGAAAACACGGTGCCCTTCTCCCTGGGGAGAAAAGGCGGGCAGCCCAACACCAGTGTCAGCTGGGGCGAAGAGCTGCAAAAAGCATACGTCATACGTTCCGAGTGTCGGGGAAATCAACATTTTACCTCTTATTTTCACGGGAACTGTGGCGGTTTCCAGACATGTCCTTAGACTAGAATAGATGTTAGCGGGATTTAGAGCATTGCACACCAAGTGTTTGACTTTTGGCAAGAGACCCCCATTCGAAGGCGGGCAAAGCACAAGATCCAGGCGTGTTATTTGACATGCGTTCGAAACACAAGTTTAGAGAAACCACCAGTGGAGTTTGATGTTATCTCATCATGCTTGGCAGGGATGCTGAAAGAGCCTAAGCCACTGGTGTTTATACTCGACCAAGCCTTTCTCACTTCCTGAGTTCTTGGACTTTATACTTTTGGGGTTTGGACCATTTTAGTGGCAACCGCACAGTTTTAGGACTTTTTTGTGGGTTGAAATCCACTGGATCGGAAGCGAGCCTTGAAGCGCAGGCAAGATGATGGGCTCCTTGCAGAAGGAGCAGAGCGACTTGGAGACTTTCCTCCTGGAGCAGAAGAGCAACAACGGGAACTCTGCGAAGGACCGGCAGGGTGGGGGGCCGGGGGAGGGGAGGAGGCAGTGGCCAAGGAGCATAGGTGCTCTTTTCATTGGAAAGTAGACAGGCTCCACTGGTTTAGATGCGGTTTAATCCCCATTTACCAGGGAAACCCATCGATTTTTCCAAAAGGCCACCTATGCCAAGGAGGCGAAAGAACAAAATGTCCCCGTCCCAAGCGGAGGTTTTCGAACCCAAGTGTGGCCCATCTAACATGGCTGGTCTTTGGTCTGGCCAAATCGCCCCTTAGTTCTTTTGAAAACAGCTTTCATGGGGTTTCGTTCCAACAGCGGGATTTGGTCCTTCCACAGCGTGGAAGCCTAGAAAGTAATATGGCCATGCAATTGAATGGGGAACCAGCGCCAAAGTGGTTGGTGGATATGACTCCGCAGCGGCTTGTGATGTCCACCAAAGGGTCCCCAATTAAACATCGTGCCTGTACGTGCTATGGTCAAAAGACCCCGTTGCTGATGGTTGTTGGGCATGGGCATGAACCCTTTGGTAGGGAGCTTTGTAAGGATTTCTGCGAAGGGAACCATGACCATACTGTCAGCATCGGGTTAACAAACCCTCCCTCCCCTCCCCCCCCTTAGAAGGTCAAATCTCAGATTTAGGAGAAGTTGATGGAAATTAGCCAAAGGTGGAATTGGGCTGGAATTGAAATCTAGTGATCTTTTGGGGGTGGTCCCGCAGGCTCCCGTCAGAGTTAGAATTGGTTAATATTGGATCCCGAGAACACTCCTTAGTATAAGATGGCCTTTATTGATGCAAAGCGAACATTAATTAATTAGCCCGCAGGAGTCTTGACCATTCCTTTTGGTTCGTCGGGTTCCAAAAAAGCTGTCGGGAGTTCTCGGGCTGCAGGAGTTGTCAGAGAAAAAGACTTTGCGCGACGAGACCACTGCACAGCTGAAGGCTGACTCGACGACTGACTCGATGACGACTCGATGCTTTGCAACCCAAGCCGAGGATCAACCCTCAGGAGAAGAACGTTGGTGTCATGGGTGTGCTTAGGTTAGTTTGGTTAGAAATAGATGTGTTCCACTGGCTTAGATTGGTTTTATTCTATACCAACGCCGTCTATGTTTCAAAAGGTCACCTAGGGTTGGGTGGATTTTCAGCGGTTAACCAATTCATCGACCCTTCTTGTTCCGTTCTATCATAGACACTAGGCCCGGTTTTTTTGGGGGGCAACGTGGTACGTACACGTCGGTTTAAACCGTGTTTTGGCTCGTGGGGCAACGTGCGAAAATGTCTAACCAGTTGGATCGTGCAGTGTTTGGGGAACAACATTTGATGAATCCATTAAGTTGCATTCTCGAATTGACCCTAGAAATTGTGGTTTAAAGGGAACCCACCCCCAAGAGTAATTTTGATCCTCTGGAATGTTCGCTTCAAGGGACTCGCTGTTACTTGAAAACAGGCGGTTCCTTGCCTTTTATGGCCTCTCCTTTTGGCAAGATAGAGTTACTTGGCGTTGCCTGAAATGGGAACTTTGGGATGTTCAACCTTGGCAAGTAGGTCTTATGCGAGGCAGGGGCCAGCGCTCGTCGCCTACTTGGATGTTCGATTCGCCAAGTTAGCAAGTGGGGATCGCCACTTGGGGTCGTTCGCCCCAAGGCTAATCCCACTGAACGGGGGGGGGGGACTTCACTTGCAAGTGGGTTGAAGCGATCTAGGCTGCCAACAACCTACTAACTTGGCGAATCGAACACCCAAGTACAAAGCAATTACTTGACTGCTACTGGGTTGGATCTTTAGACTTTTAACTGTTTGGGAAATCAAGGGGTTTTTCACTCTGAACCCCCACAAAGTTAAACTTTTTGCAGGGTCAACAGCATCCAAGAGATTAGTTGAAGATCCTTTGGTTCTAAAACCTCAAGGGGTGCCTTGGTTGCCAGGCGGACAAGGAGCTGTTGACGAGCACAGAGGATACCTGCAAGGCGGGGGTTTCGCTCAGCTGATGGTGTCCAAACCGTTGCACTTTGGTTTGAAGGGAAGCCACATGCTAACTCCATTTGAGGTTCTCCTATTCTACTTGAAGCGGCAGGAGAAACGCAAGTGGATAACCATTGTTCTTCCGAGTGGGATATACGAAGGACCAACCGCCAACTTCAAGTGTTTTTTTTAATTCTCGGAGGATGTTTGACGGCCATGCAAGTGGAAACCAACCATTTTGAGGGGTCATACTGTGGATGGACGTAATCCTGCACCACTTTGAGAGAATGGGATACCATTGTTTGTTGGTTTTTACAGGGGAATCAACATTTCAGGGTTTCTTAGGTGGTGCAGGATGTCGTCCATCCACAGTATTTAAGGCAGTTCCTGCAAGAGGCCGCAGATGTCCCTGGATTGGATTGGCAGCACACACATTCAGTTGTTTGATGAAACCCAACAAGCTATACCATGTTTAGAGGAACCCTCTTTTAGGGCTCCTTTTCGGGGTGCCATGTGAATTTTCTGGGGGAGCAATCCGGGAGTAAACGTCAATTCTGGACTCAAGGTATTCCCAACTCCCAAGCCTTCCTTGGGTCATGCAATCAGCTTGTGTGTTTTCTCGATTGAAGTTTGAGGCAAAGAGCCAAACCTTTAGGTCCTCCAATGGTTGTCTTTGTGCATTTCCCCCAATGTGCGTTTTGTTGCGGCACCTCATGTAAGACATGACCAATACCTGGGTTCATACGGATGGCTCGTCATTTTTTTAGATTACCACGTGTTTGCTGGTTTTAAAGGGAAACCGAAGGAACACATCCCCATTTTGGGGTGCCCGGTTTTACGACATATATATGAGTGGGTTTTTTTTTAGGGGACTGGCAAAATTGTAGGTTGTCCTTTTGATTTCCCTTGAAAACCACAAAAAAGCCCGCAACAGAAGACACTCCCATACATGAAGCTAAGCCCATCGCGTGGAAAAAGGAAACGGAGAGCGGAGCCCTTCGAGTCGCGGAAGGAAAAGGCACATCCACCAGCAGAAAGCTGAACTGGAGTCCCTGCCAGACTCATATGCATATATGTTTTATATTCTGGAGTAGATTGAATACGGAATAGACTCAAAACACACTACCTTTAGGATAGCACTCAAATGGTTCTCATTTGTCTATTGGAAGGTGCCAGGTGCATTCGCATGTTGAGGTTCCCAGCCTACTTGAGGACTTGAGTGCCCCCCCCCTCCCCCGAAAAAGAAAACAAAACAACACGACCCCCCCCAACAGAACGGCACGAGAGCCACCGGTACGAGCCCCAAACGCTGAACGATTTAAGCTCCAAACCTGGCGGTTCACCGGAAAATCTAAAGGGAGGGTTTGTCCAGGAGAAGACCTACCAGTTCAACGACAGGAAGAAGCTGCGAGATCAGGAGTTGGTCTGGTTTTCGTCGGCACTCCACTGCAAAAGAAAGTCCCTTCATACCCGCTGAGCTGCTGTTTTTGTACGGGTGAAAAGGCTTTAACGTGCCTGCGAAGGCACTAGAGTTCCGAAAGGTCCTCGAGCCTGAGGCAACTTGCCTGGGAGGTTCCAGGGTCTGTCAACAAGCGACCCCATCACAGCACCACCTGTGCGCCAAAAACCTTCGATTGCTCATGTTGCAAGCCGGTCCCTAGGGAACACCCAGGGAGTACGGGCTCACGAGATCGGATGCTTCTTCTTGCCTGCAAAAAGAAACTCCCAAACAATGACCAAGCCAAAGACACTGTCTAGTCTTTGGTTATTCTTTGCGAGCATTTTTGTTAGAGGTCTTCGGTTATTGGTTATTGTTCTAGCTTTTGGTTTGGTTATTGAAGTTCCGTTCTGTTGTTGTCCTACAGCCAGATTTCTACACTTGTGACAGGGTCTTTCACACGCACCCGTCTAGAAGGGGATGGCGAGCCTGAGCTAAAGGATTCATCAGAAATGGGCCATGTCGAGCTATTTCGGGGTGTACTCCTAAGCTGCAATACAACAAAGTAACAATATAGTAATAGACACAGTACTGCAAACATATCTTGCTGGCTGGGAACTTTGAACTGAACCTTCCAACTGTTCTTGTTGGCATGGGAGATTGCCTTTTCCCAAACAGTTTCCTGGTTCTAACTGCTTCTCGACCAGGCAGGTTGGAGCAGGCACCGAGTTGCCCAGTGGCGCCCTTTGTTCCTTTTTTTGGGACAAGTGTTTTCCCTTAAAGTCCACAAACCCAAACAAAAATCGGATGCGGCGTTCCCTTTTTGTTCGCATGGAAATCCACTCATCTGAGACAAAGTCAACCAACCCAAAAAATCGGATGCAGCGATCCCTTTTTGTTCGCATGGAAACCACTCATGTGAGACAAAGTCAACCAACCCAACAAATCGGATGCGGCGATCCCGTTTTGGTCTCATGGAAACCCACACATCTGAGACAAAGCCGACCAACCCAACAAATCGGATGCGGCGATCCTTTGTTGTTCGCATAGAGATCCACTCATCTGAGACAAAGTCAACCAACCCAAAAAATCGGATGCGGCGATCCCTTTTTGTTCGCATGGAAATCCACTCATCTGAGACAAAGTCAACCAACCCAGAAAATCGGATGTGGCGATCCCTTTTTGTTCGGATGGAAATCCACACATCTGAGACAAAGTCAACCAACCCAGAAAGTCGGATGCGGATGCCGATCCGTCGAAATCCACTCATCTGAGACAAAGTCAACCAACCCAAAAAAAATCGGATGCGGATGCCGATCCTTGTCGAAATCCACTGGGCAGGTGACAAGAACTCGGCCGCGCGTAACGATTTTAGCAGGAGCTGAAAGGCGTGAAGCAGGCGCTGGAGCTCCTCACCAGCGACGATGCCCAAGCTGCCTTCCAGGGCTCCGCCGCCGGGAGCTCTCAGCCAGTCGCTCCGGGCTCCCCCGGTTTCGAAGACCTGGGCGCAAAAACAAAGATGGATGGACGAAATCCATTGCGCACCCACCCAAGACACCCTACAATGGTGATTCACCCGTAAATATCAACAAACAATGGTTTTCCAGGGTTTCGAAGTGGTGCAGGATTTTGTCCATCCACAGTTTAAAAACCTTTTTTGGAGTTCGAGCTGGCTCATCTTTTTGCAGCGTCCCCGCCTCCCAAAACAACAACAAAGGTGGTTTTGAACCTAACCAGAAGGAAGGCAAACAGTTTTGGGGGCCAAACAAAAGACACACCCACCTTTGTACTTGGGCGGTTTCTCTTTGGTGTTTGGTCTAGTCGCAGATGATTTGCACCCATGCCCACAATACTCTCAAGCGGAACTCAAACCGCATAATCTTCCTGGTTTTTATATAGTGCTTCTACTTTCCAAATTTCCTGCTGCTGGGTTCAAGTGAACAATTTTGAGGGATCTTCCCTCTGAACCAGGATCTAGAGACTCATTTACCTTGTGCCAACGGAAGGCCTCCTGGCCATGTTGGTCTCTTTGGCCTGGGAGCTCACTCTGAATGACATGTCTGCCTATAGCAGGCTCACCAATTCGGGGGCACAACCAGCTCGCCAAGAGAAAGGTCCATTACTTGAGGATCCCTTAATTCACACCTTTGTTTTCGTTTGGTGGCTTACTGCGCTTGGTGCCAAACATCTAACGCGCCCTTCCAATGTTTGGCTTCCTTCCTAAGTCAGTTTGCCGGCCGGCAACCGCGCCCCGAAAAGGCGGCGGACTGCTTGAACCTTGGCTGGTTCTCGCCCTCGCTGTCGCCGGAGGGTTGGCCACTTTGGGGTGTTCTGAAGGCTTGCCCTGGGCTTTCAAAGGGCCAGGACGAGACAAAACTCGTGGCCTGGTGAAGCCCAGTGAATCCTCCGGTTTATGAAGTGTGTTTTTAGATGTTTTTAGGTTGGTTGGGTGGCTGGGTTTCCATTTAAGGCGCTAAACGGTTAACCACTTGTAGCAGGGGATTTGGGGACAGACATGGTACAGCAAGTTTCGCACTTGTTGCAGCAAGGTGCACTGGGGTTAGTCATGGTTGTTGTTGGGAAACATTGTTCCCATTTTTGCTTATTGTGGTTTAGTGGTTGAAATCCAACCACTTAACTGCTATTTGTTTTTTGCTCCCCTTCTAACGTCAACCAAGTAGTGGGGTTACAACCCCTCCATAAAAGCCCAAGTCTCCCTTCGACTCGTGGAAACGGGTCCCAGCTGCCGGATCTTTCTGCGAGGCGGTGTCCTTCGCACAGCTGCGGCAGCTGAGACACCACGACCAGCGTCGCGAGAAGGCAAGCCGGGGAGTCCCCCGGTTCGTAGGCTTCGGGAGGCCGAAAGGAAAGCAACGGCTAATTTCGAGAATTCCAATTGCCCAATAATTGAATGAAACTTAATTGGGGTCCTCACACGTTGGTGTGGATATCCGCCCTTTGACTCTTTGGCATGGGGATTGGGTAGACTATTTTCGTACCAGGTTTTGATTGTGACTCAACTTTCATTTGCTCAAGTTTGTCGTTTTTGCTCCCCTGTTGGCTTTAGAGGGAATCTTCCCCTTGGACTTCAGCAAGTGGAGGTCTTCGGTCAAAAGGCACGTCGCGCGAGGGGCCATCCACCGTATCGCCTCTTGAGACCGAGCCTGCCATTTTGAGCCACGCAATGAACGGGGATGTTTTCGAAAATGGCTCATATGTTTTGTTTTTCCCCCCTTTTTTTCCGGGTAGGGGGGAGGGCCCGCTTTTGGTTGGCTTCACAGGGACACCAAAAGGACACCCACCATGTGTGGGGTACCACAAAACAAGACGAGCCACCCAGATGAGTATGAACTTTCGCACGGCTTTCGAATGACAGATGAGTAACATCAGGAACTTCGGCCCAACGACCCGCCACAAAGGGTTTGGTTGTTTAACCCTGCGCATAAAGGATCCGCGACCTCTAAGGAATGTACTACCTTGAATGAAGGGGCCTCTTTCTCATAGAAGTAATACATAATATATATAAATATATATACATTATATTATATATATATATTATTTATATATATATATATATGTATCCATATATATATATACCTAGAGATTCGTTGCGGCAGAAATTTCTGCCGCAAAATCAAAAAAGGCGCCTTTTTGGATTTGCGGCATTTCTTCCTGATTTGCGGCGTTTTTTTAGAATTGCGGCAGAACTTGTTTTTAGTTTTTTCTACCCCCCGATTTGCGGCGGAAATCGGCGGGAATGCGGCGGAAATCGGCGGGAATGCGGCGGAAATTCCCGGAAAGCAAACGGTGTTGCGGCGTTTTTGTTTTGGTTGCGGCGTTTTTTTGGGTTTGCGGCTGATTTTCTGGAATGCGGCGGGAATTTCCGCCGCAATGCGTTGCGGCAGAAATTTCCGCCGCAGGAAGTTTATAGAGGTATGCATATATGGGTACTTGTCTTGAAATCGCCCCAAAAATGGTGGGTTTCCTTCTGGTTCCCCTTTAAAAAAAACACCAAAAGGGAGTCCACCAAAAAATACACATACATACATGTATATGTATATATATATATATGCATATGTTTTCGCTCTGCAAGACAAAGCATGCATGGAGGTGCCTCGACCAGTTGATACATCCTGGCCAGCGGGGAACACAGCCCATCTTTTGGAACACGCGGGTTTTTGAGGGCTGTGACAACAACCAGTTTCAATACTTTCTTGCTTTCCGTTTTTGGAACTTTAACGGGAAATAACAAAAGATACCAACCATCTGGAAGGGGTGGAACATGTCCCCTTTTTGTTCCTTTCAATGCCCGCGATGGGTTGAACGATGATTCGCCTTCAAGGCAACTGGCGGTGAAATGTGTGGCCGTGGTGGTTGCTTCTTTGGCGCCTATTGCCCCTAACGAGAAGCCTGTGAAACCTGGAAAGCTAGGAAGGGTGTGTCCTTGTCAGGGGCACTTCCTCCCAAATTGGCGGTGGTTCCTGTTGGTTTCCCGATTTAAACCCACGAAAAAGGTACCTGGACCCTCAAACTGTTCAACACAGAAGTTGTACTTCACAGCATAATTGATTCCCCCAAAAAGAACCGAGCCCCAAAAGCAGAAGCCCCCAAAAGAAGAGGGCTCGGTGTTTGTTTTGATTTTCTACTTAAGTCTTCCTTCAAACGAAGGAAGGGAGAGCTTCCCCCCCAAAACAAAAACACCGAGCCCCCGGAATCGGCTCATGGCGAGCGGTGGCTCGGCTGTGGCTGAGGCGCTTCAGGCCCTCCAGGCGACCGCGACGAAGTCCGGGCCTCGGAAACAGGCGGCCGAGGCTTCGCAAGACCTGGGGGAGGCGCGGCGTCTTTTTTCTTCTTTTTTCAGCGTCCCCCCCGTTGTTTCTGTTCTTTTCACCCCCCAAAAAACAAACAAACAAACAAACAAACAAACAAACAAACACACACACACACACCCACACCCACCCACCCACCCACCCACCCACTCACCCACTCACCCACCCACCCACCCACCCACCCACCCACCCACCCACCCACCCACCCACCCACGCACGCACGCACGCACGCACGCACGCACGCACGCACGCACGCACGCACGCACGCACGCACGCACGCACGCACGCACGCACGCACGCACGCACAAAAAAACAACAACCAGAAAAAGAAGGAAAAACCACGCGGAGAACTCACAATCTGAGTGGGGGTCTCCTAAAAAGATGACACTCCCAAATAATCCCAACCAGAAGTTCGTTGCGGATGTTTCCGCAACCGTTGTTTCTTGGGTCTACCAGCTAAACCGTTGCAAGGCCGATCGGGTTTTGATTGTGACTCTTGGTCAAAGTGAACACGTCCCCAATCTGTTGGACACCCTTCACATTTTCTGGGGCAACACAAAAGGATCGAGAAAGCAGGGCCGTTTGACCAACGCTGAGCCACTTGCTCAAAGCCCAGGCAGATTGGAGGGCAGTAAGTCCCCTTGCCACAAAGGGGTGCGGATATCCGCCAAAGACAAGATCACCCCGCCCCTACAGGGATTCCATAAATGCAAGTGGACAGAGTCCTGCACTATGAATGACAGCCTATGAATTCTGTTGGATAGCCTACCAAGTCTTGCAGGATCCACCTGGTGCAAATCTGAGTTTGCCCCTCCACGGTGGTGGATACTTAAAGCGGCAAGGTCCCAAGGTGCTTAAGTGCTTGGTAGCCATTGTTACAACACACTGAGCGGCGACTTACAGCTGGCCATGGTTCTGAACCACTTGCTACTCACTTGCCCAAAGCCGACCTTTTGACCGTTGAGTTCCCCGTTTCGTCAATTTGAATTCCTGGCCCAAGAAGGTGATCACCTTTTCTGTTTGGATCCAAACTGAGCAACTAAGACTAAGCACCTAAGTATTTTCCACCCAGTGATTCCATCTCCCTGGTGTTGTAGGTAACCAAGGGTTCCCACCCTTTTAAAGCCAAAAGGACAACGAGGGTGTCTTTGGGTTGAGGGCGTGTTGTGTTTTTAAGAGGAAACAAAAACACCGAAATCCACTTTGGGGTCCGGCCTTTTACCTACCTGGATGTTCGTTGCCAAGTTAGTGAGTGGTCAGCCACTTAGGGTATAACCCCTGATATTAAGGTTAACCCCACTTAACGAGAAATCCCAAAATGGGTTATATCCGAACGGCTACCGTTAAAACTTGCTAACTTGGCGAATCGTACTATGGATGGACTAAGTCCATTTCGCAGCACTTTAAAACCGTGGTCGAAACCATTGTTTGATGGTATTTATGGGGGAATCATCATTCCCCACGAAGTGAAACCATGGTTGAAACCCTTGTTTGATGGTATTTATGGGGAATCATCATTCCCCACGACATGAAACCATGGTTGAAACCATTGTTTGATGGTATTTATGGGGAAATAATCATTCCCCACAACATGAAACCATGGTTGAAACCATTGTTTGATGGTATTTGTGGGGGAATCATCATTCCCCAAGTGAAACCATGGTTGAAACCATAACGTTTCTTGGCATAGGTGTCCCTTTTGGTTGTTCTGGTGGAAAACTAGATGGCGATTCCTGGTTTACCTGGTGGTTTATACCTATGTCTGTGCGTGCTGTGTAGTTGGGATTTGACGGGGAACCAACCAGCCTACTAAGAATTTGATCATAGCCAGTCTTTGAGCAAGAGGAAAATGGTTGGTGACTTCTGGGTTCCTGTGCGCCTGAGCCCTCTTGATAACCAGCCGAAACCAGAAGGAAACCAGAAACTTGTGTTTCTTGGTTTCCCCTCGCGCCAACGGATGCCTCGCATTTTCAGCGAAGCGAATCCGCCATTCGAAAGGTCTCGCAGCCTGGCGGTGGCCAAGATCGCCGCGGAGCTCTCTACCGGGGGCGTCTTCCGGAAGGTCATCATGCAGCCGGGGGGCCCAGCGGAGCGCCAAAACGCGCCGAGCCGCGCCGAAACGCGCCGGTGGGGTGGGGGTCCTCAACGGCTGCTCTGTACAGCTTTGTCAAAAGGATGCCGGTTAAAATCAAGTTAAGTGTAGTTGGTATGGTTTAGGCTTTTTGTCTTGTTGGTTCTGCTCATTTCTCGTAGGGGGCTGCAACAGAGAGTTTTTGTTGCTTCCATACCAAGGGTTGGAACGACAACTGCAGACAGAAGGGTGCCCGTTTTTGCGTTTGGGATTGAAGAAAGCAACGCCGCTTGTCTCGCCGCTTGTCTCAGGTGCACCTGAAACCTCCAGGAACTGCCAAGGGCAATGTGTCCACTGGGGCGAGACAACGCCCGCTTTTCCATATTGCCCCTGTTTCCCTCACTCATGGTTGTTGTTGGGCATTTTACATTTTTGCTCGTTGTGGTTTAGTCGAAAATCCCCACTTAACTGCCAAAACAAAAAAATGCTCCCCTTTTAACGTCAACCAAGCACTCTCCCTTTCAACCTCAGGTAAACCTTGGTTGGCGATTTGGGTTGGTGGTTTGGGGATTTGAACCGGTCCCTGGTTCTTGTAGAGGGGAACGAGGAAACTGCCCTTGCCCACCAAACCACCGGAATCCAAGCCACCAAACAACGAGAGAAGCTGATAGCCAGAAACAAATGTTCTAACCTTCTGCAGTGCGTCCAGTGCCCCTCGCAAACTCTGGTCAAAGCATCGCCGGACAAGTCGTCTCCCAGGATCGACACGCAGATCGGAGCTCTGCAGGCGGAGGAGAAAGAGGAGAGACAAACGCGGTTGTGTGGGGGCCAGGAATATAGATTAATTCCCATATTTCCCATTTGGGCGGTTGAAAAGTCACCTTTTGGGCCCCTTCTTTGATTGTGCTTCCTTTTGGTGGAGTGAGATTTAGAGGAAATATCGGAACCCGATCGGATATTTTTGAGCGGGGGACGGGTTCAAAATTCCTCAATCCTTCTGACAAATAGTAGTGGTTCAGTTGTAAGTACCTACTAAAAGTTTCGGATTAGGAATCCCCACATGTTGAGAAGAAGAAGAAGAAGAAGAAGAAGAAGAAGAAGAAGAAGAAGAAGAGACATGGCCAAAAGCCAACGAGCTGTTTGCTTGAGCCATGGGAGGTGTTCCCTGGAGAGGTTTTCTTGATCGACAGGACGTGGATCACAAGGATCGGTGCCTGAAGCAGATGGCCGCCTCCGATGAGACTTTGTCATTGCTGGAGGACAGCATCACCAAGGCCTTGGCGCTAAACCCAACGCGCGTCTTGTGTGATCTTGGTTTTCTTCAGGTCGATCCCAGTACCTGGACCCAAACTACTCTTAATAATTGGTGAAAATCGCCACTAGGTCCCCCAGTACTGCCCTTTCTCACTACAGACAAAAGGGTACCCTACTAAAATCGACTACAGACAAAAGGGTGCCCTTATTCGAACCTCTGTACTAGAGGACCTACTTGTGATCTTGCTTTTCTTCGGTCCATCCCAGTACTCGGATGCCCTCTCATTGGCGGTTTGGATTGGTGGTTTGGGGATTTGAACGGGTTCCGCTTTTGTAGAGGGTACATGGGAAGAGTCGACCCCCAAACTACCCTTAACAATTGGTTCTAGCCCCGCAAATATAGGGGGGTGAATTTGTTTTTTGTTTATCGGTAGTTTGAGGGTCCTGGTACTCAGATCACCTCTAATTGGGTTGGGATTGGTTGGGGGATTTAAACCCCTGGCTTTTGTAGAGGGTAACTGGGCAATTAGAGGGAGGCGGAACTATGCCCTATAGGCAGCCTTTTCTTTCCCACAATAAATCACTCTGAGCCCAGTAGGCAGCATTTGTTCTAGTTGACGGGTGGTTCCCTTGGCTACCTGCTATAGGTAAATGGATCCACAGCGTTTTATACTTTACTTGTTTATTTACGGAACAGTTTGCCCCGGTTTTTCTCATGGAATTCCACTGGAGTTCCGGGCTGCACGATTGCCTTGACCAAAGACTCATGCGCGCTGCATGAGACTCATGCGCGGCCTGGTGGTGAAGCACAGGGGCCTCGATGGAGCAGCGGTCGAGAGCATCGATCGCTTCTTTTGGGAAACGATCCGGGACAAGCGGACCAAAGGTCGTGGGACCTGTGACCAATCCACGTTCGATACAAAATGGAGTGATGCATACGGCTTCTTGGTCCCGCAGGAGGTGAGCCTCCTACGCGTCGGCCTGGCGATGCGACGCGCACCCTTGCAAACCACGGTGAAATTCTGCCTCCAGTCCTTGTTTCCAGCGCAGGGCTACTTTGACCTGACACGGAAGCCGGTTCGTTTGAGCCGCATAACCATTGAGCACAGCCGTACTTGGAGGGGTCGATCCCGAGCTGGTTTGGCCAAGCAGTTGCCAGGGAACCTGACGTGGAACCCACCAGAAGGCTCTTTGAAAGGAACATTATCTTGCAGGAATCTCCTTTCATCAGGTTTCATTCCAAGCCACCCTCAGTCGAGGTCAGTTGCCTTTTCAGGCAACCACTTCGGCTTCTGAAGGGCCGGAACCCTCGCATTAGATCGGGAAATGAGTATGCCTCTTTTGGCGGGTACCCTTTTGGGGTGGTTTCTCAGGGAAACCAAAAGGAAACCAACCGATCAATGCAACATAACGTCCCTGCTTCTGGTCAACTCAGCATTTCATGCATTCAACTTCAGCATTTCAGTCCTCCCTGCAGCCAACACAACATATTTCAAGATCCATGCCGCTGCCGGGCTGTCCAGACTCTACATGTACAATCAGGAATAAATTGCAGCATGCAGTGAAGTATTCGATGACAACTCAATGTCGCACAAGAGCAGCATTGCTGTGACATTTGTGCTAGCGCCTATTGTAAGACAGACCCAAATGGAGTCGCTGGGTCTTGGTTCACCGACTGACTGATCTCTTTCGTATTTCTTGCGGTAGGAATCACGCCTGGGCTTGCAACTACTTGGTCGAAGGGTTGCTCGCCTGAAGGCAAAGCTGAAACCTGTAGGTGCGGTTCCTGTTTTTGAGGATAATCCTTTTGGGGCCTGGGAAAACCAAAGGGGAAACCCCAGCCATTTGTGTGGGGGTCCCTATGTTAAAGCAGAAAACCCAGCAATTGTTTTTTTGGGGGAGCTCCGATTCCCATTCTGAGACACGGCGATGCCTGGGATCCGATCTGTGAGAGGCTGGCGTGAAGATCGGGCGCATGGAGGGCCAGGCGGGGGAGATTCAGAAGGAGCTGGACACGCTGAAGGCTGAGATCAAGGAATCGCCTCAAAGCTTCGGGCGGCGCATCCGATTTTGTTTTTTGTTCAACCCCCAAAACGGCACAAAAAAGGGAGATCAAGGACGCGCCTCGTTTCGTTTTTGGGCGGCGCATCCGATTTTTTCATTTGCTGGTTGAACCAAAAAATGGCAGGCGCATCCACCTCGTATCGCGGGCGCATCCGATTTTTTCTTTTTTGTTTTAGCCCCAAAACGGCACGGTAGCCTTGAACACCACACAAAAAGGGGAGCCTTCAAAATTGTCAAAAACGGATACCCCCAAAATTGGAAGGGATGTGGTTGCCCCTGTGTTTTGAGATTCGGTACTGGGGTCCAATTCCCTGGGTGTAGCTCCATGTCCATTTCTGTTGAGGATGTGTTTTGTGAATTTCATCCAAATGGGTGTGTGTGTGTGGCTTGTTTTGAAGCTCGAGTGCTCCTTTTGGTTGGTTGTTTTCAGGGGAACCAGAACTGTTTGGGTTCCCCCATTCGGAGACAAGTCCAAATCACTGCTTCAAGACGGAGTGTACTTGGTGCAGACCTCTTGTAAAAACGCAGCTGAAAGAGGCGGTATACTGTTGTTGACCAGATTGTCGGAATCACAAGGGGCAGGTTACGTCAAGTGGGGTAGAAGGGTTGGTTACAGCATAGTCTTTGGCAACCAACCCTAGTCCCCTTTTAAGGGAACCCAAAGTAGGTTGTTTGAACCCTTCAGGTGTATAAACATGGTTATAACTTATATAAGGCTAGGGCCAATCCCCTGTTGAAACGTGTGTGGCCATTCTTTAGACACTTCAAAGGAGGACACGGTCTTGTTACACCTCTTGCCCATGGGCCCATTTCCGGGAAAGAATCCTCCGGAAGGTGAGGAAGTCATGTTTCAAAACGGTGTCTTTCATATGGATCCACCTTTTGGGTGTCTTTTTTTGGGACCTCTTTTGGGGTTGTTGTCCCGTGGTTTTGGGACCCCATTCCTCACTGTGGCTGGATGTTCGTTTGCCCAAACTCTTGTAATCGGGAAGCTTACGGTGAATGGGTCAAGACTGACTGGGGTTGTGGCGAGGTGTGGTGGTTCCCTGCCGCGTTTTGGGTGAACTTCCCGGCATGCGGCTGTCAACCTCACATGCGCCATGGTAAGACATCTGACGGTTTGATAAGGACATGGACCCCTTAGGGAATTTTGACCTTGGCGCAGGTTCCATGGGAACCGTGGCGCAAGGAATTTGAACCACTCAATCAAAATCCAAGCGCCTATTTGAGTGTCAAGCAGAAGTCCTGTGGCTGATGTTGGGACTCACTCAATTCCCAAAAGAAACCTTCACAGATACCACGAAATTCGAAGAAGCACTCATATATTAAGCATCCTCCGTTTTTTTTAGGCAATCCATCTAGGCAATGTATACCAACATTTGGCCCATTTGGCCCGGGTAAGTGTGGATGACTGGGGTCCATGCAAGCGGTCTGTGCTCCAGGAGACTGGGAAGGACATCGTGGATCGCCAAGAGTCCCGCGACAAGGACCGAGTCCCTCGGTCCCTCGGTCCCTCGCTGCGCTGGGGGTGAAGGGCGCCAAAGGACTGGAAAGGTTCCGCTGGAGCCTCACACTACCAATTGGAAAATGGGGCTATAACTGGCGTTATAGCCTTTCTGCGTAGTTGGAGGGTCCAGGTTTTCTCTAAACACGATAGTTTGTTGGTTTCCTGTTACTCTTGACCCACATCTCCTTTTTCCGAACTAACCTCACCTTCTGGGGTAAATATGCTGTTTTCCCACAGTTTCAAGTTGGTTGCTTGCTTCAGGCTAGGCCAAGAAGCTCTCACTGTTGGGATGGAAAGCGAAGATCGACCTGCGATCCTGTTTGCCCCCACTCCAGGAGGGCGGGCAACTTTTAAACGTGTTCCATGTGTGTCGAGGTTTCACAGGCCTCCTGCAACACATCCAGAGGTATCGGATTCCCAAGGATGATAACCATGAAGCAAACAACCCAACCCGTTCGGGGTAGAGGCTCAAGCCTCTTCAGGTCTTAAATGAGATTGGGCTTGGGTTCAACTGAGTCATGATGTGGACAAGATCCGCTTCACCAGTTGCCAGGTGGTTTCTTTTCCTAGTTTACAGGGCTTCATCCATCTACGAACTGGATTTGGTCCACAGGATCAACAGCTTCCGAAAAGCATTTTCCATCGGCTTGATCAGACCCCAGACTGGGGAGAGTTCCCAACGGCAGCTGTTTGCACAATCGGATCGGCCGTAGGAGCGTGAAGAGCACTTGGCGGCGCTGAAGCACGATCAGGCGCAGCCAGTTTGAGGCATAGCTGTCCTTCTTGGTGGAAACATAGCTGGCGATCAGTGGTTTCCCTGGTGGTTTTTCATCTACCAGTGGAACCCATGTATTTGCCCTAAAAGGACACCTATGTTTTGAGGGGTTCCCTCCTTGCCATGTGGCCATGGAACACGAGGAACTCGAGGGTGTCTCTAGGAAGATGACGTCCTTCAGGTCCCCGAAAGGTGAGGTGCCCCATTTTAGTGGACGTTTTGGGTTGGAGACCCAAAACGATTTCAGGATCTTCTGCCTACGCCAGATAAGGCCAGGCTAAGTGGGGCAGGGGCCAGTTGACCCATAGTGCTAAACACCTTCGAAAGCATGGTACAGGTTCCCAAAAACCTGGCAGTGGCATCACAGTTGTTTCACATCTTGAGGTTTGAAACCATACAAGCGAATCTTATTTTGAGGCCCCCAAAATGGTGGTTTGCCTCGTGGCTTCCCATTAACACCACAAAGAAGGGGTGCCCTCAAAAAGACACACCCATACAGAAATTTGCCCTACGGGGATTGATGAATCCCCGAAGGGGGGGGGTTCCCAAGAACCCTAATAGGGCTCTCAACTACCGGGTTACCCACCCCACTTGTACCTTCCCCCCTTTAGGGATCTCATAAATCAAGGTCAACCAACAAATGGACAGAGGCCATTTTCGCGAAATACATGTGAGCAACGGTCGACCTTGCCAGCCTGTCCATTTGGGGGAGACGAGCTCCCAAACTTCCTCACGAATCTAGGGCACAGGCCCTCAATGACCTCACAAAGGGACTTAGTTTGTGACTGCTTAGCCCCCTGGCATGTTTATCTTTCAGAAGCGGTTCTCCTGATGTTCGATTGCATGGAATATGTTCCTCAGGAGAATATCCGAAGCTAAAACAGGGTTGGCTCCTTGGCAACGTTCGTAAGTTTTGATCGTGGCTGCAGCTTGATTGAAAGTGGATCCAGCTTCCTAGCCTGCCTCAAGACGCATAAAGCACCGCCATGCTTGAATCGCTTGAGGTGGTGGGCTTGTTGCCTAATTCTGCTGGCAAACAAGTTGCGACTTGTTTGGCCACTCTGCTCCGGAAGTCAGAAACACGTGTTCCCAATGTTCGAGAGAGGCTCAGAGCTATGCGGGTATCCCGTTGACACAATGATAGTAACAAGTGGGATGTTTCATGTGGGTTTTGTGTCAGAACAACCAGAGCGGGAACACAAAGTGGCAGTTGCTCATTTAATCTTTGTTACAGCTGTTTGGTTGGATCATTGGACTTTAACTCTTTGGTTGAGACAGGTCGATTTTGCGTTGGACCCAGGAACAGTTCAAGATGTTTGTCAGAGGGATCAGCAGCAACCAAGCAATGGAAATTATGATTTATATTTTTTGAATAAACTTTTTGTTTTAATAAATCCCGCTTAAAGTCCCTGGTGGTTGTTTTTGTTTTTAGATAAACCCCGTTTTAAATCCCTGGTTGAGCTGGTCTTTGTTCCCTGCGGCCCATGTGAGAGGGGATCCAGATCGCTAGGGAGGTGTAGCCGCCCAATGAATTGAGGGGGATCCACGTTGCACTCTGCGCGCTCGAAATTCATTGCCCAGAGAGGTGATCTTGCAGCGAGTTGGTTTGGGGAGGATGGGGATTGGAAATTGGGCACTCCAAGTTCCAGATTTTCCAGGGGCTAAAAGTTTTGAGGTTGCCATGTGCTCATGTCCCGTTGGGGAAATACGGTATTGTATTTTCCGCTCAGGAAGTCAAGGTCGTGTCTACCCTTCTGGCTCTGAATATGACCTTGATCAGCACATTTTGAGCTGAGAACACACTTGGTGGCTCCCAGCCATCCGGTTCCTTAGCTTTTTAGCCTTTTAGCATTTAGTGGTAGTTTCCGTATTTCACCCACACTTTGAGCGGGGGATCTGAGGGCCCAGTTGAGTTTGGTTTGGTAGTCAAAAAGTGGAACCCTGTTCCCATGTGTTCATCTCCTTTTGGGCGGAAAATTTGTATTTTCCATTTACCCCTCCTAAAAGTTACCACTTTTAGCGGGGGATCTGAGGGCCCAGTTGAGTGTTGTTTGTCCCTAGGATGCACCCCCCGCATCCCCGCTCCCTCCGTATCCCCGCTTGTTTGTTTGTCCAAAGTGCACCAGTTATTTTAGTTTTGTTTGTCGCCAGGATGCGCTGGTTCTCATGGACAACGCTATGGAGCAGATCACCAAGTTCTTCAAGGACAACAAGCTCCTCGGCACGGCACGCGGCACGCGGCACGTGTTCTGGAGGGGTTCTCAGAGTCTCAACTGGCGGTTTGGTTTTGACTTCCCTTTTTCACTTTGCCCCTTCAGCGAGCATTTCTCTCAAACTGAGAGACTGGTGGTTGGTTTCCTTGTTCACTTGCCCAAAGAAAATCGACATGGGTGGGCCTCGCCTTTTGGTTCCCTTGGTCCGTGTGGGTGGGTCGTGTCTTTGGATTTGGTACCCTTTTTTGCTGTGAAGCGACACCACAAGGAACGCAATTTGGGAGGATCGCCTAAAGGAAAACACACCCATATCTAGTCATGGCCTGAAAAGGTGATCACCTTGTATTTCCGAGTCCAAACTGGGCAAGGCTTTGAACCTCATGCTAAAAGGGGACCCCCACATCCGCAAAACACTGGAAAGTGCCCGTTTGCTGGGCCGGTCTCCTGAGAAGGGTGGGGCAGTGTTGCAACTGCGACTGACGAAGCCACAGGTTCACCAAACCTTGGCGGAATCGTCCGGTTCCTTAGTATTTGTTTTCCAAACTTTTTCAGTTGGTGTAGTGGTTGGGTGTTCATCTAACCCAGAAATAAAAGCATTTAGCATGGGATCTCAGGAGAGGCCAGAAACCAGGTCATCTTTTCTGAAGCCTGCGAGCCCGTCACAGGGAACCTCTCTGAGGGGATCCTCTGGTTCCATGGCCAAGATTCTATGAGATTTCGGGCCGCGGAAGCCTTTGTCGAGTTGCTTTCGAGACGGGTCGGAACCCCCAAAATGGCGCGCTTCGGTGTGCCTTTTGGCTTCCCCTTAAAACCATCAAAAATAATTACCCTCAGAGAAAAACAAGAGACACTCAATAAAGGATACCTGGAGCATTGCGCCTCACCTCTAATGCTTCTTGGGGCAGAATCTGTCTATGCAAGGTTTATCAAGCCTCCAACCGAGCGTGAAGAACGCCGACCCTTTGGTCTCTTTTGGTCCAAGTGAAATCGATCCGATTTTCTCAGGGTGGACGTGGGCGCCTCCCTAATCCAGCGCCACCAAAGTGGAAAGCCGGGCGCGATGCCGGACGCTGGCTTTGAGGACGGGACCAAACATATTTTTGTCACGGGAACGGCTCACTCCCTGCGTTCAACTGAACTTCTAGGTTTCCCCAGTAGTGCCCTTCTCTCCCCTTTTTTGGGGGAGGGTTCCCCTACTAAAACAGACTACAGAAAAAAAAGGGTACCCTTATTCTAACCTCTCTACTGGAGGACCTAGACTTCAGTCGCTTGAAGGGTTTGGACGTAAACAAAATCTGCAGACTGTTTTAGGCCAATCCACTCGAGCGGAAGTGAGTCAGCACCCAGGTAGATGAAGGTTCGGGATAGTTCCTGACAGGTGCAGATGGTGTGTGTGCTTTTTTTTAAATTTATTAGGGTACCTCTCCAAAATGGTGCTTTTCCTATTGATTTCCCTTTGAAACTCACCAAAAGGGCTACCAACTCCAAAAAGACCCATGTTCGACTTCATTCTTACATGTTTGTGTGTTTTTTTGTTTTTTCAATGATCTGCTTGAGTACCAGGTTTAGACTATGACACACTCACCTCGGGTCTTGTACGTGGGCTGTTCTGGAGCAATCCTCAATATGGGTGGCTCGTCTTTTTTTCGGGAATCGGACCCAACAAGTGGCGGTTTTCCTGTTGGTTTCCCTTTAAAACCACTCAAATCAGGGGTTCTCCGGGTCCCCTAAAGCAAGACACTTGGATTGGGAAATGGTTTGATCCGTTTCTAGTCTACCTCACACTCAAAAGCCGATAGGGTGTGTAGGCAAAAGCTGGCCATGAACCAACGTGTTAAAAACAAGGTCGAAGGTGATCGGGGATTCAACATCTGGGCTGTTCAAAGAATCTCTTACCTTGGGTTACGCAAGGGGTCCCCTTCGTAGTGGCTTTCCAATAGGGAGTATGGATGCGGATTGGCCAACACTCCGTTTTGAGCAGCCCAGAAAATTCCAACCCGTTTCGGCTTGCCGCAGGATGCGGACTACCAGGGCCAGAAAGACTCCACCAAGGGTCTGGTCGCGGCGTGCTCAGAGCAACGGCGAGTGGCAGTGAGGATAATTGCCAGTTTTGCAAAACAAAACCAAAAGGACTTTGAAAATTGAATTTTAATGCGCAGTTTCCTTGGGTACCGAAATATACGGAAATGGAATCGCTGAGAATGGTAACAGCTTCCTTGCCGCCTGCTTTGGCGCTGGCCAGCCTCAGGCTATGATGCAGATGGTCAAAGAGGACCATCACGAGCGTCTCGATTGGGTATGGTATGTCCCAAAATACCATAGGGTATGGTAAGCATTAGGTATGGTACCCCCGAAAAGATGCTTTTCCTTTTGGCTTCCCCTTCCCAGAGGGTCCCCTGGCACCTTCTAAGGATACACTTAGACCCCCCAAAAGCCATCCTCAGAGGGTACTTGGACGGTTTAAGCCCACCCCAAAACGGGCACTATCTCAGAAAAGCACCACACCCATGTAGGCGGGTTGAGCTGGCCCCTACCCCTGCTTCACAGAATTGACGCCGTCGAGACGGCCCACGCCGAGTCTCCAGAAAGGGTGGCACTGGCCCCTATGCTACGTTTGTACTTAATCCAAATAGGGTGTTGTGAAACAACAGCACTAATATATATATATATATATATATATACATATATATATATCTGTATACTCATACAAATAATCGATATTGCATACCTGCATATTCCAGCTGTGCACATGTCAGTCCTTTGGTCGAAAAAGCGCATTTTAACTGCAAAAGTGCCGTTTCAACACATGGTCGGGGGAAGTCGTCTGTCGCCGTTTTGCCCTTCATGGATTAAACAATGTCGTTTGTCTGAAAGTCAGCTTTTCACAAACAGGCATGAACAATACAAACCTTGTACGATCCATATATGTATATGTATACACAACACAAATAAACCGTACGCAAAGGCATAGGTTGCCAGGTTTCCTCTAGGTTTTACATGATGGTTTCCCCCGGTTTTCACTGAATACACATGGTAAGAACAGAAGTTTTGCCCAATGGCCGTAGAAAAGGGTCCCTCCCGATTTTGGGCGGATGCCCCAAATGCGCAAAATGGGTGGTGTTGCTTTGGGTTCTCCTTTACTCCAACCCCAAAACGGGGGTGCCCTAAAACACATGCATTTAGTCACGGTCAAAATGTGCGTAGATCACTTTAGTAAAGCAGGATTGGCAGCATAAATGTGCAAGAATCTACGTGTACCTATATATATATATATATATATATGTATACATACAAATATACATAGAGGTGTGACCACACATGCACATATATACTTATATAATATATAGATACCTGGACCCTCAGAATTCCTCCAAAAACACGGGCTATTGCCCCAACGTTCTGGGCTGAGTTCCCTTCTTACGGGCAGTTTGAGGGTCCAGGTAAAAGGTATCGCCCGCGAGAGAGCCACGGCCAGCCGCGGGCAGTCGTGTAGGACCTGGAGGCGGAGATCGAGAACGGCAAAGCGCAGGACACAGAGAACCAGGCGCGCACAGGGACAGACAGGCACCCGCCGGGTCAGATCAGAGGAACCCACCGGATGGTGGCTCGTCTTTTTGGGAGACTTGTTTTTGCTTGCGTGGTTTTCAATGAAAGCCGGGAGGAACAACTTATTGTTGTTTTTGTTTTTGTTTGGGGGGGTGTCCCCAAACAAAAGACACACCCAGGGGGACTCTGTTAAAGGAGCATCTACCCGTGTTCCATGTTTGGTGGGAGGGCACATGTCCAACTTTTCGGGTCTGCGTTTTCGCTTTTAAGTGACCTCCGGTAGGGGGAGATTTGGGATGCAACTTCTAGGTGTTTCTGTTTTTGAGGGTACCCCTTTTTTGGGGTTGCAGGGGAAACCAAAAGGAACGCCGTTGAGCCATTTTGGGGGGTCCCCTAGTCCCCATTTTTGACATGTACCTGGACCCTCACACTACCCACAAAAAGAGGCTTTCACCCCATAGCTTTGGGGACAACAACCCATTTTTCGTTTGGAGTCTTCAGGGTCCAGGTAGCTTTACTCCTCTTGGTGGGTTTCAAAGATGTGGGTCGCCACATGTTTCACGGGTTTCCTCTAGTTGGGATGAGGTTTGCAGGTTGGACAGAACGTTATAATTTTGCATTTGGGCATTGGTAAAGCCACCATTCCCCACCTACAACTCCAAGTAGGCGGGTTTCCTTTTAGGTTCCTTAAAAACAGGTCCAAACAAGGGGTCCGTTGGTTGGAGACACAGCCAACGGTATCCCCATTTTGTTGAGGTAGTGGAAACCATCTAAGAGTCCTTGAAAGAGAATCCACGTTTTGGGCCAATGCAAAGTGAAGTTCCTATACAGGTGATGTTTAGGGTGTTGGGAAGACTTGACCACCCATAGAGTGTTTCTTTTCTGGAGGGTCCTTAATTCGATTCGGTGGGTTTTTACAAATTAACATCGCGGATTCTCCCGCGGGTCCATGTCTTATTTCAATTTGGTGGAGTATCATAATTCGTCAGAATGGTTTCATGAGAAGCGAGGGGGCCGGGCAGGTTTGCTGGGCAGAGGCTCTCGAAGTGTTTTCGGATGGTCCATTTTGAGATGATTACCCTATTACCCTCCCTTCAGTGAAACCCCTTCATTGCGAATGGAAGTGGAATGGGTCGGCCATGCTGGCTGATTTGGAGGACTTTGTGAAACATCGAGGTATATGCTGGATCCCAGGCCTTTGTTGAACCCATGCTGGATCCCAGCCCTGAAGTGTCTACTAACCCCCGCAAAGACGCGCCAGAGGACTGCGCAAGAAGCACAAATCAGGAGAGGGTAGGGCCCCTGATCAAGGGATCAGTCAAGGAGCTGGAGGCCCAGTCATTGTTTCATCAGGGACTGTGAAATGGGCTCAGCAAATGGGGCAGCATGACGGCCGTCGCAAGAACTTGCCAACGAGCTTGTCTCAAAATTGGGGGAACCTGCAAATGGTGGTGTTCCTTTTGGTTTCCCTTTAAACAAGCCCAGAAACGATACCCTCAAGATCGACACCCCTAAATGGCACTCCAAAATATCCCCTCCTGGGACTTGACACTGTATTTTGGAACATGATTTACTGGCAGACGTTCAAACGCTCGCTGCAGTTTCGGGACTGTCTACTTTTTTGGACGACAGCTTGAAGGATTCCATCAGAACTTGTGTCTTCAGATTTCAGTCCACTTTGCCCCCTCCGTTTTGATGAATTCTTGGGTCGTTTCAGTGATCTACGGCTTAAACAAAACACCGGCCAAGCCACGAACATTTGCGTGTCGGAAGGCGCTCTATCAGAAGGACTACGCCGCGCTGAAGGACCGGCCTTTGGTCCAGCCGGGCTTTCGAGTTCGGGTGGCCATGTTTCCATTTGCTGAAATGAAGAGGTAGTAGCTCCCCTTGTTGGGTTTAAAGGGAACATAGTACTACTGAACATGTTGTTTGTTTTTTTCTCCCACAGCCATATCTTGTCCCCGAGCCGAACATCGTGCCCTGAAGCTTCGCTGAAGTAGGGAGCTGAGGGCGAGACTGGCCACCCAGGTTGCATCACTGTGGCCAACTGGTGTCAATGGATTGCCAGCAAGCGCCGAGCCCACGTTTGCTGCAGCTCAACATGTGCAAGCTCCTGCAGATACTCAAGTTTGCCGCCTGGCTAACTTGCAGTGGGCAAAACTTCCAGGGAAAGGTGGGGGGGGGGGGGGCGTCCTGACCTGCGCCAGGCTGCGCTTGGCAAGGTCCAGATTGTTGCCAGTTGGTGGAGAAAGTGACAACAATAAGCAAAAATGGGAAAAATGTTTCCCAACAGCAACCATGAACTGGGCTGTCCGTTTATGATCCCCTGCTAAAAGTCTAACTGTTAGTGGGTTAAATGGACACTTTACCACTATAACAGCAAAATAAACAAAGCCAACTAAGAAACCGGATGGCTGGGAACCATCAAGACAAGGGGCGCACGAAAAGCGGACACCACTTGAGCTTTAACTCTTTCACCTTTAGCTTTATGTATTCATTTTTGCTCCCCAAACCCAACGTCAACCAAGAGTTATGGTCGCCTTTTGACCCCCCGAAACCGTCGTTCCAGAGGAGTTGCTGGACACCCAGAAGCAGCAGCAGCTGACCGCCACCAAGGCAAACTCTGGTCGACGGGTTTCCTTCCAGTGAGTCCGTTTACCTATATGGCTGTGGTTGTCAGAACTGTTTTGGTTGATCTCATTTTGGCTGGGATTGGTGAATTCACCGCCCATTTTAGAATCTATTGTGGTTGGATTGAATCAGATGTTCACTGGGGGGTAACCGGGATTTTGACCATGGCTATATGGTACCTAGTGTTTCCAGGCAAGCCACTCTTGTAGGTAACCAGGGAAAACGAAAGGGGTCACCCAAACCAAAGTGGTTTGCCTTGGATCCACTGGGCGCAACGTGTCCACTTTTCAGTTGATTCACAAGCAACCCCAGCCATCCCCTCGGGTTTTGTAGCTTTAGGCAGTGCTTGGGTGTTCACAAGTTGTCAACTTAGCTGAGGATCAGACACGTGCGTGTGGAACACCAAATATATGTTTATATATATATATATAAACATATATATATATACATATATATATACATATATATATATATAAACATATATATGTATACATATATATATATATAAACATATATATATATATATATGCTTTTGGACCCCAACCACCCCTTCTAACAAGTTCCCAACAGCCCCTCTGGAACTCTCCGCAGCCACTTCATCGCCTATTTGAGTCCGACAAGCTTGCAGCTGTCAAGGAAAAAGGGATGGGTTCCGGGCCAAGGACACCTTTATTGGGGATGCAGAAAGGAACCCCAACGGGGATCCACCCACCAAGTAACATGGGAAATCCACCAGAGAAGTTGAAGTGTACCAAGTAACATGAGAATTGAACAAAGGGTCCTGGAATACATTGTTTTTTTTTTCTCAAGGACCCTTTGGTGGGTTCCGTTCGGGAGGGCAAAGCTTCCTTCTCCTGGAAGTGCTGGCAGTTTTTGACCCAAAATACAAAAAGATAAACAGGCCATGTCCATTTCGAGGCCTCCAAAAGGGGATACAAAGCACAAAAATCATCGTTGCGCGTTCGGTGTCGACCCCCACAGCCGTTGAGGGCGTGCTTGGGCCTAGTTTTCCCTGATTTCAACCAAGGATCAATCAAGTCGTAGTGGATCAACAAGGGGGTGTCTCACTTGAGAGGGTGCTTATGTTGAAGTTAAAAACCCCAGCAGGGGATGCAATCCTCTTGCAAGTTTTCAGGACCCCACGTGCAATCCTGGGGCGGAATATACATGAGCTTCATATACAATTCAAATGGGGCTGTATGTTTTTAGGGACACCCTCTTTTGGGCTAGATTTAAAAGCAAACCAAGAGGACAGCCACCATTTTGGGTGGTCTCCCTATCTTGGCACATAATGTTGACCCCCATATTAATCAACCCCGGTTTATGATCGGGGGGATGTTGCCCCCCAAAAGTGATGATTCCACACTAAACCCGGGGACACTGGGGTTGATTAATATGGGGTCAACATAACCCATCTATACCACTCCAAGAGGACAACCACCAATTTGTGGGTCTCCCTTTATCTTGGCGCATACCCATCTATGTATTTGACATTTAAAAACAAATATGATGCCACCAATTATGTTTGCACCGCTAGCCAAAGAAGGGGTCAGCCGCACGTTGTCACGAGGCGCTGGCCGACCTGAAGGAGGACACGGAGGGAAAGAAGGACAGGGCGCGATGCCATGAACCCGCGGATCACTAGCTTACCTCTTGAAGGGGCAAGCTACTTGATTGCTATTGGGTTGGATCTTTGGACTTTAACTTGGTTGTTGAAATCTTTTGGGTTTCCCATTGAAGACACAACAGTTCTTCACTTTTTGCACCGGGGTTAGGAGGAACCAAGCTTAGTAAGTGGTGAACAAGCATGATTGTGACCCAATGAACGGGGACTTCCAACCATGGTAAGTGGGTCATAAGCATGTACACTGCCCTTTGAGTATAGTACCGGCCTCCAGGCAGCATTACAATAGGCAACCAACCCATCATGCAACAAGAGGCAACCAGCATGCCGAAGGGGTACGTACTATAGCAGAGACTAGAAGCAATGGAGCCATGAATTTTCCTTTAGTAGCCTGGTTGGTTACCTTCTATCAAATCCCAATGGTGTCCAAGGTTTTCGAGGATGCCATGGACATCATGACAGGGGTAGCTAAATTCCTGGAACTGACTAAACGAACGAGTTTTAAAATCACGTTTCACCAGGCCTATTTGCGTAGAACGGGTTAACTGGATTTGGGTCCCTCAAACGTTCTCAAAGCCGCACGCAGGAATTCCAGGATGACAAGGCACGCTTGCCGCACCGGTTGGGGGTCATGGCCATGGCTTAGGATTCCTTGGTTGAAACTCCCGGGTCGACCATCCCCAACCCCAAGCTGGTGTTAAGGGTTCATGGGAGACACATCTGGGATCCCGACCAGAGCGGTGTTTTATTGGCGACCGCAAGCCCCATGGAGGAGTTCTGCTTTCAGAAGGCTTCCTCCGTTGCTTCCCGTCCTTCATGGGGCCTGGTTTTCGTGCCAACCCAAAAATACGCGACCCACACATATACCCTCAAATATCCCTGTTCGCCAAACCTCGGTTGTTTCAGCCCAAAGGGAGAATTTGCTTCAGACCCGTACGTCCCCATGCTGCCTTGATGTTCGGGTTGGTGAACTTGTTTGTTGTGTGGTGGGCGTGCGCCTAAATCAGTGTATTCAACCCCAAGTTGCACTTTGAGTTGAAGAACCTGCAAGCCAGGGGTTTTGGGTGGCAGTAGAGACAATACTTGTCATCAAGAACGCCCTCGGTGGTGGTATGGATTGGTGCTACTTGAACCCCTGATTCTGGAGGGTAAATCGCCACTCACCAGACCACCAACTAGTGGGAAGCTGATATTATGTTGCTAGAGGGAGGCTTGGAGTTCGCTTCGCATGCTTCGCGGACTGCAAGTCAAAGATTAGTTGGAAAACAGGGGGCAGTCTAGATGGGTTCCATCTTCCAAAGGACAATCATGTGGCATCCCGTACCCCCAGTGAACATCCCAATCCCCACTAAAATCGACTAAAATGGGTGGTGTACCTACCCCAACATGGTACCATTGGTATTGACCCACAGACATGTGTGTTCTTCCTAGTTCCCATTTGTTAGAACCCACTTGAGGTTCACCCAAAGAATGCGTTGTTGGTGGGCTCAAATCAGAACAAGTCTCGAGCGGCGCGCGCCTTGGATGCCCACGTTAGATGACTCTGAGACTCTGATGATTTGAGCTTTAGCAAGTTCAGCCGTTCATCCGGGCAAGAAGCGACCTTGCTCACCCATGAAGGGCCGATTCCTTCTTTGGGGGGGGCGTTAACTAAATACAGATGCTGAAATTTGTGGCTTGCCTGGAACCCGGAAAACAGGTTCCAAAAATAGGAACGCTGACACATGAAATACAGCTCAAAGGACTGTTTGTTCATCCGAATAAGGGAACTACGCGCCCCCCGTCGCAAACAGTGCCACCAGTCATTCGGAGCCGCTGAAGTGAAAAAGCGGGGAGGGTCTGGGTTGGGTTGGAAGTGTCTCGGTTACTGTCTGGGTGGGGTCAGCATGGCCAGTTTGGGGGGGAAGAACTTTCTGAAATAGCAAACCCCAAAACAGTCACGGGGTTCTGAACGGAAAGAAACGCGCTGTTTATTTTAATAGCGACCCCGATCGTTTAACGGGTTCCAACAATAGGGACCCTAGTTTCCTCTTGGTTTCCCTTTAAGCAGACACACCCAACAGTGTGGAGCCCCTGTCTCTGAAGAAGATCCCAAGTTGCGTCAAATGGGCCGTGCCAATGTTGGTGAATGATGCACGCAAAAAGAAACGATCGCAAGGTTGCATTTGTTTCTCGTACAGGCTGCTGAGAAGAAGTCGGAAGAGAAGAACAAGGAGCTCCAAACGGCGCTTCCTTTGGCGACCTCCGCTGATGCAAGGGATATAAGCATTTCCATTTCCGCAGTTTTGCTGCCGATTTGGAATATCGGTGGTTGTGGGTTGGGGTGGGGAACAAATTTGGAGGGACACCAAAAGGAAGCAAACCATTTGGAAGGTCTGAGACAAATCCCATGGACCCTGGATTCATGCAGAGCGCGGGGGGGGGGGGGGAGAAACTGGGGGGCAGCCCAAATTCGCCCTTAAAGCCTTTCAGGCCTTATTTGGCTCCTGATTGGGCTTCCTCCACCCCCCCATGACAAAGCCAATCCTGAAAATGGCCTTTTGGTTTTCCCCTTTTGGTCTGATTGAGTCGAGGTTCCAAAGGTAAGTCTCCATGCTTGAAGCCCCTGGTGAATTGGCGAAGCTGTGGGTGAATTGGCCATGGTCACTCATCGGTATCCCATCGGGTTCCGGATTTTTCTTTTTGGCACTACCAGAAACGGCAGTTTCAATGGACACCGCCAGTAAATTGCAACTGTGAATCGGGACATCCAGCGACCCCTGTTTAAGAAAGGCCTTATTTGGCGGGCCACTTGCTGGGGTCATTCTTTTGACGATTGGGGGTGATCAAAGTCAGAAAATGTGGTTGTTTCCCTACCCGTCGCTTAGGGGGTGACTTTGATCATGGTCAAAGAATGAGGCCAGAAACATCAAGCAGCGTGTGCGCGTGGATACCAGAAATGGACACAACAAATCGGCCTGGTTGAACCACGTGCGGCCGTTGCCCCGTTGCCCCGATTGCCCAGACTTGGCTGAGAATAGGAGAACTTGCACGCGGACTGCGCCTGGGTGAAGACCAACTTCGACTCCCGCAGGGAGAAGCGGCAGGCGCGGCCTTGTTGGCGCCATCCTGCGGCCAAGTTGTAGAGCCGGAATCAAACCATGGGAGACAAATCCACAAAAAATGAATGCTAAAGTAAAAAGTGAATGAAATGCCTTTTAAATGTTAATTGTCAATTAACTATTTTAATATATAAAAGGATTGATTAAAGAGTGTATTTTTTGGCAAACATACAAACACATGTACCACAATAGCACCTTGGTAAGTGCCACAAAGTGCCTAAAACCCACGCAACCCGGGACCCTAGCTCTTTAATTTTGAGCCACACCCACATGGCTGTGGCTTTTTTGCGAGGGTACCCCTTTCTTTGTTTCGTTTTACAGTGAAACCGAAAGAGAAACATGTTGGACGTCCCCTTCAAAAAGACGCACCCACATAGGCGTCCTTTCTAGGTTAGTTGTGTTAGAAATAGATGGCACTGGTTTAGATTGGTTTCATTTGAGTTGCCAGGGTTGTCTATTTTCCAAAAGGTCGCCTATGAATCAACAAATGGCGTGGATTATCGGCGGCTAACCAAAACGATGTTCATAGTTTAGCGCGGACAACCAAATGTGACGCAGAATCAGAACCTATTTGTTGCCCGTTCCCGGAGGGTCTCTTACCCGTTGCGGACGCTGTTTTTTTTCTGCATCCCACCCGAGAACATGGAACCGACCGTCCCGACCCGGGGGTATAACATATTGTAAACGCTTCGTGTTGCCCGCCTCAGCCAGTCCGCTTTCGGCTGGCTCTGAGGTATACACCGTGCTTTAGTTTGCTTTGACGTCTGGTTTTTGCGTGAGCTGTTTCCAAAGAGGGTGGGTGCACGTGCGTGTTTCCACACGGCTTCAAGGGCCAGAACGAGAGATGCAGAGAGTACGCAGGTGAATTTGACCGATTTGCGGGGGGGGGGGGGGGAGTTTGCCGGTTTCTAGAGGGGAGTTTGGTTTCTATGGCTTTCTAGGGGGGATTGGATGTTTGTGGAGGGATTTAGATTTAGCTTACCGCGCTGTAGGCTCTGTTCGTGGGGGCCCAATTCTTTTTTTTAGGATTTAAAAAGCATGTGTCTCGAGAAACTGTTGTGCTACAAACAAAAGCGCCCAGACTACACGCGTGTCTTTTGTTGAGGGCACACGTTCTTGTTGTTTTGGAAGGCAAACCAAAAGAAAGACCTAGCCATTTCGGGCGGATAAAAAAGGAGCCGCCCATATGGCTGCAACAACCCGGAGCCAAAATGGAACCCTGGTAAGTGGAAACATGGACCGAAACCCGCGTAACCCCCCCTGTGTAATTTTGAGCGACACCCACATGGAGACTCCGAACCCGTCCGGGCCCCGGGCGTGTGTCGTTTGCGAGGCCGAGATCCAGGGCTTGGTGGAAGCCAAAGGCCTCCTGGCCGCCGTGTGAGCCGCGTTAGGCCGTTAGGCGCGAGGGAAAACCCCGGCGCCGGTGGGGCAAAAGAAGGTCTGTGCGCGTAGGTGTCCTTTTTGGTTGTTTTGGTGGCAAAGTAGATGGCGATTCCTGGTTTACCTGGTTTCATCATCTACCAGGGAAACCCATGTATTTGCCCTAAAAGGACACCTAGGTTTGTGCGTGCTGTATTTGATGCCAACCAGTCTACAACTAAGAATTGGATCATAGGTAGCCAGTCTTTGAGCAAGAGGAAGATGGTTGGTGACCTATGGGTCCCTGTGCGCCTGAGCCCCCGTAAGGGGAAACTGTGCATGGTAGACTCTAGAAGTAAGACACCGAAGGGTCACCTACTATAGTGGCGAAACACCTGGAAGCACTGGGTAGGGTACCAATGAAACACGAAGGTTGCAGGCTGAGTTTCCATGACAAACACACACACACAGTACGTAGTGTTTGGTTCTGGGGGTAGGGTTAGGGTACACCCTCAACCCTCATTTCTGTTGTTGGCTTCGCTTTGCCGGATTAGGTCCCGATGAGCCTTAGAAAGCTTAAACTGTTTGGCGCTGGGTTGTAGGGTCCTTGCCCTTCTTCCACCTTTGGCCCGCCAAGAAGTGAAGTTGAATCTGACAGTGGAAGTGAGAAGAAGGGGGGTCCATTGACTTCCAGTTGCTCAAGAATATGGTTTATTTCCCCTGTTGGTGTTAAAGGGAACCAGCACCCACAACAACTGCTTTCTGGACAGCACTTGGGATTTAGAGCATGGGAAAACGCAGACAGGTTGGTGGTGCTGGTACTGGATGTGTTGTTTATTTTCCAGGCTTTTTCTGTTTATCATTTTTGCCAAGGGACATACCTCAGGTACCCCCTTTGTTGATGGGGATTTGAGCCCCTGGTTCTTGCTGGCGGTGAATGGGAAATCGAAGTCCAGGCTTCTTTGTTTACACCGGCGCCGGGCTCGACTCTGCTGAGGTTCCAGTGCCATGGACGTCCGGACCTGTGAGTCGATGCGCATGGGTTTCCCGCTTGTAGCAAAACCGCACAAAAAAGGCGACCCTCCAAAAAATAATACACACTCGAATGGGCAAAATATAGGATGCCAGCTCCCGGAATCTCCCTTTTGACCCTTAAAACTTGGGTCAAGAAGGGGGGTCATCACGCCTTTTGTAAGGTCATATTGTTTTTCTCCAGGTACACGTGCGATTCGAGACCGTGAGTCCGGAAAAGGCACCAGGGATCCGTTCCTAAGGCATCCACCTGATCCTCAACGGATTCTCAGAATGACCTGGTGGAAAATGGTTGCCTGAACCCTCAAACTACCCAACAAAAAAGGGAGTTCACCTGAGGCAACAACCCATTTTTATGGGAATGTGATGTCCTCCACTTTGACAAAGATCGCCCCAGACTCAAACCTTGAAGTTTCGGAAGGCTCAGCCATCACTCCAGGGATACGTCTACCTTGGGGTAAGCATTGACAATGGAGCCATGCCTATTCTGTAGGAGATCCCGAAGGATCCATCTCAACAGGTGCTAGGGTACTTTGAGCTGGTGAAGGACTTCGCTCAATGGCAACGATTGGCTTTTGTTTGCTTGGCTGCGCAAGGAAATGATCAGCCCAATGTTCGAAGTCTATTTTGATTTGAGCAGCGCCCAAAAACTCATTAGACCATTTTAGGAGGTGGTTCTGATGCCAGATTCAACAGGGATTGTAGTAGTCCCTATATAAACCTTACCCATCATGTCAGAAGAACCACAATTCAGTGGGTGTTGGTCGCTGCTCATTTTTCGCTTGCAAGTTTTGGGCAAGACTTGACCCAGAAACCGATTCCTCAGGTCGCATCGAGCGGCGATCGGAAAAAGCCACGCGTGTCAACAGGGGGAGGGGGGGAGGAGGAAGGATGTTTGGGGACAGAAGCCACCCCTCCCAATCACCAAGGACTTTTCTGGGCCTGTGTTTTTTTTTGAGGGTTCCCATTTTAGGGGAGAATTTGAAGGGACACCTAGAGCAAAACCACAGGCACCCTTTTTTTTGTTGCTGGGGGGGTCTAAAGAAAGACACACCCATTCTTGTGTTGGCCCTGAGTAAACCTTACGTTGGCCTTGTGTTGGTCTTTTGAAGGCCCGGCGGCCTCAATTCTAAAGGGAGGGGCGCCAGATGTCGCTGAGGGTCCAGGAACCAAGCTGCCATGGGTCTGCCTCGACATGCCACCGGAGCTTTGGTTCAGTAGGGAGGCCATGTGAAGTTGCCTCCGGCCTCCGCTCAGGAGGCGCGCTTGGGGGGGGCAGTGATGTCTTAGGGCCGCTGAGTTTTCTGTGCCCGTGGTATATCTAGGTCCCCCAGCTAGGTGCCCTTCTCTCCCTTTTTTGGGTTCCCCGTGTCTAACACTAGACGACAGAACAAAGTTGGTACCCTTATTCAATCCTCTGTACTGGAGGACCTAGACGTATTCATGTACCCTTAGACACATATTAGGCGGCGCTTTTTTGGAGGGGTCTGTAACACAGCTGCGGCGGACATTCGTTACGTACCCCGTTGCACACACTAAGTAACAAGATTTGCTGGCTCGTTGCATGCCCCTCGCTTAATTGCACTTACACCCCCTTTTTGCAACACATTAACCAAGGCAGGTGGTTGCATGCCCGCTTGCTCCATACTTCGATGCATACCCAAACTCGCGGTGATTGTTCAAGGGTGTTTGCAGAGCAGGTTGTTGCAGAGCTTGCTTTTGCTGGACATGCCCGTACCTGTGCAGAGTCAACTAGTAGAGAGCTTGCCCTTCCTTCAGACAAGTTGGAACAGGTAGCATGGAGGGGCCGGAAGAGGCTTCTTTCTGTGCTACAGCCCGTTACATAGTCGTTACATGCCTCTTTTCACCCCCCTGGAGATCAATGACATGAGAGCTGGCCCGTGGATGGAAGCTGGCAGAGTGGCCGGCGAGTCAAGTTTTTGCGAAGCTGACTGGGATCTCTTTTGAACTCGTTTTACGTGTTGACTCAGGTGTTCAGTGGCACCCTTTTTCCCTGTTTTTGGTGGCTGCCCCACTAAAAATGGTCTTCCCCAAAAAGGGTTCCGTTTTTTACAGGGTCACTGAACAACTGAGTTGACGTTCACTACATCTCTGTGTGTCTGCTTTTTGGGGCTACCCGTTTCGGGGTAGGGCAACCAAAGGGAGGCCACCCACAAATAGACGTTCCCCTATTTTACGCATACCTGGACAAGAATCAAGCATATGAGTGGGGGCGCAAGCTGAGGTATCTGAGGACACGTTCATTTCGGGCCGCAGTGAGAAGAGCTTCTTTGGTGGATGGACCTTTGAATCTTAGACATTGAACCGGGGTACGTATATGTCCTTTCTTGGTTGTTTTAAACGTCATCTGTTTGACCCAGAATTCGGTGAGTGCCCATTAGTGATTTTGGCAGGTATCCCATTTAAAGACACATGAGGAAGGGGCCCTCCTTGACTCATTGGAGGTAATTACGTCCCCTTTTGCTTGACATCTACCCGCCTTTTTGGCCTGTTGAAAGGATCCCAAACACCCTGAAGGAGCTATGCAAGGCGCCCGCGCCCTAGGTGCCTGCTTCATGTCGATTGGTTGGAGGAGCCGGACCCCCCAAGCAAAAAATGTGCCTTCCTTTCGGTTCCCCTTCAAAACAAACTCTCCCAACAAAGGACTCCCCGAAAAACTCTCCCAGAGATTCTGCTTAAATCATCACACTGGGGTTGTTGGGCTACTGTTCGGCCAAATTTCCTCATGACTGCGAGAGATCTTAGCGGGGAATCTAAAGGGTTTTGGGAATAAGCTGGAAGGGGATCCTCAGGAAGCAAGTTGGAGGCTTTTGTGGTTGGGGCCCCTTTCCAACTCATTTGCTGCAAGCCAGCAAAGACAACCGAATCGCTTGCCAACCACTTGCCAGTACCGAATCGATCCTCGCTTGAAATATATTATAAGTTTCACAAAATGGCGACCCGTCTCATTCCCCAAGTTGTTGGGCTATGCTTTCTTTGAACCGATCTTGATGGCTCCCAGCCGTCCCCTTAGCTGTTTTAGCCTTTTCGTGTTTAGTGGTAGTTTCCATTTGACCCACTAAAAGTCAGCCACTCTTAGCGGGGGATCTGAGGGCAGCCCAGCAATTTGCATTCTTTCCAGGGATCCTTCTTTCTAGAAAGCCTCCAGAAACCCAGGGAAACCGGCCAGTTTTGGAAAAGAACGATGGTTGAAAAGAATGGACAAGGAATCATCCCCTGGAAGTTTGTGGCATACAAAAGCCGCTTTGGCCACTCCTTTTGGCTCGCTGTTTGTGAGACCCGGCCGAAAGCGACTAACCCGCCGAGGGTACGCCTGTGCCTCCTGGCCCTGTGAGGGGATCGCGCAGCAGGAGGGGTCGGGCGTTTTTGGGTGGGTGGACCCCTGGCCAAGTCTGGGGGGTGCCCCAAGACTAGGTTCTTTTTACGACCTTTTTTTTGTTTTTCCGGACTAAATACGAAGAGTCCGAATATTTGTTTGTTTTCTGCCAGATGGCGAAGTCTTGGGGGAACCCCAAGAGGGACACAACTGACCAGGGTCCCAAGCACAGTAAATCGACCAAAACTGGGATCGGTGTGTTTGAGGGTAGGAGTTTTGTGTCTGCTTTTCCAGACTCACGGCCATGTCCAATGTCCGCATTTTTTGCAGTTGCCCAAAGCGAGTCGACTGACAATGACCCTTTGGTTACTACAAACATTACTTTTGGCAGGGGATCTGAGCACAGCCGAGATTGGGTGAACCGTTGGAAGTTGTTTGCCTTCTTTTTTTTATGGAGTTGGCGCATTTCCCTGCAAGTTGAAGTCATGCCTTCAACATACCTGGACACTCAAATTCCCTCTTTACCAACAGGGCCCACTCAACTTCGCCAGCAGCAAGGCTCCCTCTTTGTTTGGTACTTTACTATGAACCAAATACTTGGCCGGTAAGCCCTTGCTTTCGGTTTTTGTTCAGTCGGCGAACCTCGATTTTTGTTGGCTTCTGAGAGGAAGCCATTTAGTCAGAGCCCATTGAACGGGTCATCCGCCAGTTCAAACTT